TCAAATAAAAGACTACAAGTTCTGGAAAAAGAATCAAATGTGTGTCACTTGCAGAAGATATACAAAGCTGTGGCCACCCTGCCCTCCAGATTCACATTCCCTCCCCATCACCTCCTTCCCAAAGCCAGGCCACATCTCTGCAGCTCAGCTCACTCGGTGATCCCCAGAGTGTCCGCTTGAGTTAAGAAATGACAGCGTGATCTGCCGGGTGCAGTGGCTCACACACCTGTAATCCCAGTACTTTGGGAGACCAAAGCGATGGATCTACTGAGGCCACAAGTTCGAGACTACAGCTCACAACATGGCCAAACCCCATCTCTAACATAAAAATACAAAAAAGAAAGAAAGAGAGAGAGAGAGAGAGAGAGAGAAAGAGAAAAGGAGAGAGAGAGAGAAGGAAGGAAGGAAGGAAGGAAGGAAGGAAGGAAGGAAGGAAGGAAGGAAGCTGGATGTGGTGGCCTACACCTGTAACCCAGCTACTCGGAGGCAAAGGCAGGAGAATCGCTTGAACCTGGGGAGTCAGACTGCAGCACCACAGCACTCCAGCCTGGGTGACAGAGTGAGACTATGTATCAAAAACAAAGAAAGAGAGAAAGAGAGAGAGAGAGAAAGAAAGAAGAAAGAAAAGAGAAGGGAGGAAGGAGGAAGGGAGGAAGGAAGGAAGGAAGGAAGGAAAAGGTTGGTGTGATCATTCGATTGTCTGTGGAAACTACTGTGGTGGCCCCATGAAAAGTTCCATGATCCAAAAAGACACGCTCCACTGGAGCGCAGGGTGTGGACTTAGATCGGCACCGAGAACCTGGAGGTGTTGTGGGCACAGCAATGATCATGGGAAAGACACTTTGGACAGTGATGGGTGGTTCAGACACCAGAGAAGGGATGCAGAGGGCGTGGATCACCAATAGGAATAAAGAGATGAGGAATCACCACACGCCCATTCGGAGTTAAGGAGGCTGCCAGAGACAGCGGAAAAAGTAAAGCAAATTATCATACAGGCCCCAGGGCTTGTCCTGGCTTTCAAGTGTCGGCCTTACCACACCCTCGCTGGCTCAGGACCACCTCCTCCCTGCTTCCCTCAGGAAGCACACACTCTTCTGGGAGCTGTGTGACGGAACGGAGCCATTGCAGTGGCTACGAGGGAAAGGAGCGAGAGCTCTGGTTGTTGGGTTCACTGCTGGCCAGCTATCCTCTTTCACGGTGACTTATCTTCTCAGCATTTCTGCATCTGTCAAAATGGGCTGCAGAGTCGCCCACACTGTGGCTGGTGTGGAGACTGCACTCTGCGCTGTGCGTGTCTGTAGCACACCTTCACCAATACAATGTCATCCTAGCCTTCCTGGATTTCCTGTCATTTCCTGAAAGGAGCACGAGTCCTTCAGTCCCAGAGAGTGGGTTAAGTTACAGTTCTTCCAATAACCCTACTAATCACTGGAAAGGATATTCAAAGAGTTATAAAAAATAAAATCAAAATTGCTCCAAGAGAAAGGGAGGCTCTTTAAAACTTTTTTATATATTTGGGTAGAAAAGAGAAACAGATGGAACAAATTAGGATAACTGATCAGGACCCCAATGCCCTAGAACAAAATAGTCTTTACTCAGAAAATCAAATGAACTGCCACCAATGAGCAGAGCTTAACTGATGTCCAGTGAAATGAGGGGAAAACGTTTAAATGCTCAACATAACATCATTACAGTGAGCCAAAAATGTGTTTCATTCATCATGAGACAAAATCAAAGTCACAAAAGCTGTGAAAGACTCGAGAGAGAAGTTATTTTAAGAGTGTGGCAAGACACTTTCTGAGTCTCCACATTGAAAGGCCTAATGAATTTGGAACGACAGAAAGTAAAATAATGCATACTAATAGAAACAAAACAAGAATAAAAAGAAAACCAAATGTTCCTAGCAGAGAGTTAAAAAAAAAAAAAAAAAAGGAGAGAGAGGCAACAATAAAAATGACAAATGACCAGCCTCAGTCTTCCATCAGCAACACTGATACCACAGAAAAAATGGCAGACACGGTTCATCATTTTGAGAAAACAGATTTTTTTATTATTATTTATAATAATAATAATTCTGATTTAAAACTAGAATTATATACCCAGCTAAACTATCATATAAAAGTGTGAGAGTAAAGTAAGTACATTTTTAGGCAAGAAAGAAATCTTTTATTTTTTTGAGATGGAGTTTCACTCTTGTCACCCAGGCTGGAGTGCAGTGGCACGATCTCAGCTCACTGCAAGCTCTGCGCCCCGGGTTCACACCATTCGTGCCTCAGTTTCCTGAGTAGCTGGGACTACAGGCACCCACCACCACACCCAGCTAATTTTTTTGTAATTTTAGTAGAGACGGATTTTCACCGTGTTAGGCCAGGATGGTCTCTGATCTCCTGACCTCGTGATCTGCCCGCCTTGGCCTCCCAAAGTGCTGGAATTACAGGTGGGTGAGCCACTGTGCCCAGCCAGGCAAGAAAGAAATTTTTAAAATGCATGTCCTAATCACCATATGAAAAAGTACTGATCTAATACCATGATGAAATAAAATATGGAGAAAACCCAGAGTACATTGTAAATAAAACAGAGAGGTCTCTGAGGGCGGCATGGAAAAGCTGAAGAGACAAAGGTAAAGCACGGATCCACCACATACTGACTCTCTTCCTTACGAGGCACAAGGGGTTGAAGGGAGGGCCACTTAGCTTCGCCTTACTCCTCTGTGCTACAGTTGCATTTATAAGAAATGCATATTTTTCTACATATTTATATTTTAATATGCTAAAAGGAATAAAATATATCCAATCAGTCCAAACACAGGATACGTGAAACTAGAATTCCTCCCTTTAGAGAAGTCTTCATCTCTAAAACCTCAACTCAACAAAAGCTTTCTTGAAATATTTTCCACCACATTTCTGGGGCCAAAATAAAAACCGATGAAGAAACAGAGCCTCAAAACATACACACAAGTTTAATGAGGGGAAAACAAAGAGATAAACCAGCACTAATGACGCATCTCCAGCCACCAGCTCTAAACACCAACAAGGAAGAGAAGCTTGTGGAGCCTCCTGTCAGGACAACACACGCCAGGGAGGGATTTAAAGCCCCAGCTCCTGAGCAGCTCACCCACCGCTCACTCACTCCCCCCACACTCTCCCCCAGCTCATCTCTCCCACCCCAGCATGGCCGTTGTCCACCATGTCCGTCTGCTCCAGCACTTATCCGACTCCTGGCAGGTGGACGACTGCCCAGGAGAGACCTGCCAGAGCCCTCCTGCTGTGCCCCCAGCTGCTGCACCCCGGCCTCCTGCCTGACCCTGGTCTGCACCCCAGTGAGCTGTGTGTGTCCAGCTCCTGCTGCCAGGCAGCCTGTGAGCCCAGCTCCCTGCCAATCAGGCTGCACCAGCTCCTGCACACCCTGCTGCCAGCAGTCTAGCTGCCAGCCGGCTTGCTGCACCTCCTCCCCCTGCCAGCAGTCCTGCTGTGTGCCCGTCTGCTGCAAGTCCGTCTGCTGTGTGCCCACCTGCTCTGGGGATTCCTCTTCATGCTGCCAGCAGTCTAGCTGCCAGCCGGCTTGCTGCACCTCCTCCCCGTGCCAGCAGTCCTGCTGTGTGCCCGTCTGCTGCAAGCCTGTTCGCTGCAAACCCGTCTCCTGTGTGCCCGTCTGCTCTGGGATTCCTCTTCATGCTAACAGTCCAGGGCCAAAATAAAAACCGATGAAGAAACAGAGCCCTGCAACATACACACAAGTTTAATGAGGGAAAAACAAAGAGATAAACCAGCACTAATGACGCATCTCCAGCCACCAGCTCTAAACACCAACAAGGAAGAGAAGCTTGTGGAGCCTCCTGTCAGGACAACACACGCCAGGGAGGGATTTAAAAGCCCCACAGCCCTGAGCAGCTCACTCACTCGCTCACTCACTCCCTCACACCTCCCCCAGCTCATCTCCTCCCACCCCAGCATGGCCGCGTCCACCATGTCCGTCTGCTCCAGCACTTACTCCGACTCCTGGCAGGTGGACGACTGCCCAGAGACCTGCTGTGAGCCCCCCTGCTGCGCCCCCAGCTGCTGCACCCCGGCCTCCTGCCTGACCCTGGTCTGCACCCCAGTGAGCTGTGTGTCCAGCCCCTGCTGCCAGGCAGCCTGTGAGCCCAGCCCCTGCCAATCAGGCTGCACCAGCTCCTGCACACCCTCGTGCTGCCAGCAGTCTAGCTGCCAGCCGGCTTGCTGCACCTCCTCCCCTGCCGGCAGTCCTGCTGTGTGCCCGTCTGCTGCAAGTCCGTCTGCTGTGTGCCCACCTGCTCTGGGGATTCCTCTTCATGCTGCCAGCAGTCTAGCTGCCAACCGGCTTTTGCTGCCACCTCACTCCCCGTGCCAAGCAGTCCTGCTGTGTGTGCCGTCTGCTGCAAGCCTGTCTGCTGCAAACCGTCTCCCTGTGTGCCCGTCTGCTCTGGGGATTCCTCTTCATGCTGCCAACAGTCCAGCTGCCCAACCCATTTCCCATACCCACCTCTTCCCGATGTCAGCGAAGTCCTGCTGTGTGCCCGTCTGCTGCAAGCCTGTCTGCTCCAAGTCCGTCTGCTGTGTGCCTATCTGCTCTGGGGGTTCCATTTCATGCTGCCAGCAGTCTAGCTGCCAGCCGGCCTTGCACCTCTTCCCGTGCCAACAGTCCTGCTGTGTGCCCGTCTGCTGCAAGCCTGTCTGCTCCAAGCCCGTCTCCTGTGTGCCCATCTGCTCTGGGGCTTCCAATTCGCATGCTGCCAGCAGTCTAGCTGCCTTCAGCTTGCTCTACACCACCTCCTGCTGCAGACCACTCTCCCTCCGTGTCCCTCCTCTGCCACCCCGTATGCAGGTCCACCTGCTGCGTGCCCGTCTCCTCTACTGTGTGCCCCCACCTCCTCCTGCCAGGCCAGCTGCTGTCGCCCGGCCTCCTGCGTGTCCTCCTCTGCCGCCCGTGTGCTCCCGCCCGGCCTGCTGAGGGCTCGGCTCAGGCCAGGAGTCCAGTTGCTGATGGGCACATCCCCAGGACCAGCCCAGCTGTGGTCTGACTCAGGTTAGAGAGGTTGCCCCCCACCTGGGACAGGGCCCCTATGTGCTGAGGGTGACCACCACCCTCCTTGCTCCCAGGAGCCCCCATCCACGCAACTTCCCAGCTCTTGCAGGTGCTCACCTGCCTGCTGGGTCCCCTGTCCTCCCTCCAGCTTTCTGCCTCAGGTCACTCGGCCTTGACTTGAACCTGTCAGCACCTCTTCCTGCTCCCAAATAAACTCCTTGGTCACCTGATTCTCTTTTCCTGTTGTGCTCCTGGGGACACACATGGTTGCTGCCAGCAGTCTAGCTGCCAGCCGGCTTGCTGCACCTCCTCCCCGTGCCAGCAGTCCTGCTGTGTGCCCGTCTGCTGCAAGCCTGTCTGCTGCAAACCCGTCTCCTGTGTGCCCGTCTGCTCTGGGGATTCCTCTTCATGCTGCCAACAGTCCAGCTGCCAGCCGGCTTGCTGCACCTCTTCCCCGTGTCAGCAGTCCTGCTGTGTGCCCGTCTGCTGCAAGCCTGTCTGCTCCAAGTCCGTCTGCTGTGTGCCTATCTGCTCTGGGGGTTCCATTTCATGCTGCCAGCAGTCTAGCTGCCAGCCGGCTTGCTGCACCTCTTCCCCGTGCCAGCAGTCCTGCTGTGTGCCCGTCTGCTGCAAGCCTGTCTGCTCCAAGCCCGTCTCCTGTGTGCCCATCTGCTCTGGGGCTTCCAATTCATGCTGCCAGCAGTCTAGCTGCCAACCAGCTTGCTACACCACCTCCTGCTGCAGACCCTCCTCCTCCGTGTCCCTCCTCTGCCACCCCGTATGCAGGTCCACCTGCTGCGTGCCCGTCTCCTCCTACTGTGCCCCCACCTCCTCCTGCCAGGCCAGCTGCTGTCGCCCGGCCTCCTGCGTGTCCCTCCTCTGCCGCCCCGTGTGCTCCCGCCCGGCCTGCTGAGGGCTCGGCTCAGGCCAGGAGTCCAGTTGCTGATGGGCACATCCCCAGGACCAACTGGTCCTGACTCGGGTTAGAGGTTGCCCCCACCTGGGACGGGGCCCCTATGTGCTGAGGTGACCTACCCCTCCTTGCTCCCAGGAGCCCCCATCCACGCAGCTTCCCAGCTCTTGCCTCCTAGCAGGTGCTCACCTGCCTGCTGGGTCCCCTGTCCTCCCTCCCAGCTTTTCTGCCTCAGGTCACTCGGCCTTGACTTGAACCTGTCAGCACCTCTTCCTGCTCCCAAATAAACTCCCCTTGGTCACCTGATTCTCTTTTCCTGTTGTGCTCCTGGGGACACATGGTTTTGAGCTGACATTGGTTTCCTCCAGCCATGACTTTCTAGGAATGAGTGACTTAACCGAGAAGTCACAGGGGACAGTGGTCTAATTCCTCCAGGGAGGCCACCAGGTGGGACTCACGGTCACACCCAGGAAGGCTCAGTCCCGGCTCAGTCTCCATGCCTGGGTTTTCCCGAGCCTGGTCATTCGCTGCCATGCCCTGGGTTGTGGGGCTCTCCAGACCCCAGGACCGTCTCACCCACTGTCCCACCTGGGAGAGCTCACCCTGCAGGGTCACCTGCCGGGAAGCTGGTTTGAGGTCCAGGCACTGCAGCCTCTGGGCCTGGTCACTCTCTCTGTGTGCCACCTGCCCCAGGGTTCTGCCAGTTTAGCAGCAATGCGAGGGGAGAGTGAGGGGCTGCTGCACCTGCATAGGAGACAAGGGGCTCGATGGGGACAAAAGCATCATGGAGTGGGTGGATGGATGCATGTGATTCCCCAAAACTGGCACTGCCCCAGGTCCTCCTCTGGGGACACCAGGTTCCACTTGGGCTTTCAGGACCCAGAGTTCGCACCTGTAGGGCTGTGCGTCAGGCCCCTCTGAGGTGAGGTTGACATGGGTGACACTGGAGGGCACAGGTGGACAAGGCCCTGCTGAGACCTTGGGGATTTTCTGGGGGGATGGCCTTCCAGGGGCTGTGGTGGTAGCTGGAATGGTTTTAGTAAGTAGGCAACTGTCCCCAACAGGTAAATTTTCAGTTCCTCTCCCTGCAAGGCTATCTCAGGGCCAAGGCGTGGCTGTTCCTCTGTGAGTCCCCCTCTCATCCCAGGGGCCTGTGTCCGTGGCAAGAGCCCACAAAGGGAGCCCCTGCCACCCATGAGGCCTCAGCCTCCGTCCCCTAATCCCTAGCACCCTCGCCAACGCTGTGTCTACCCCACGGTTTTCTGGAAGAGTTTGGGTTAGACTGGTTTTATTTCTCCCCTAAATGGTTGGTAGAATTCAATAGCAAAGCCATTTGGGATTGGCATTTTCTTTTTGGGAAGGGTTTTAATTATGAATCCAATCTCTTCAATTGATAAAGGACTATTCAGATTTTCTATTTCTTCTTGTATCCCTTTTCATAAATTATATATTTCCAGTCATTTGCCTATTTCATCTAAGCTGTTGAATGTATTGACAGAGTTGTTTGCATTATTTCTTTGGTTTCCTTTAAATATCTCCAGATTCTGTAGTGGCAACCTTTTATTCATTCCTGATGTATTAGTTCATTTTCAGGCTGCTAATAAAGACATACCCAAGACTGGGCAATTTACAAAAGAAGGAGGTTTAGGCCGGGCGCGGTGGCTCAAGCCTGTAATCCCAGCACTTTGGGAGGCCGAGACGGGCGGATCACGAGGTCAGGAGATCGAGACCATCCTGGCTAACCCGGTGAAACCCCGTCTCTACTAAATATATACAAAAAAAAAACTAGCCGGGCGAGGTGGCGGGCGCCTGTAATCCCAGCTACTCGGGAGGCTGAGGCAGGAGAATGGCGTAAACCCGGGAGGCGGAGCTTGCAGTGAGCTGAGATCCGGCCATTGCACTCCAGCTTGGGCGACAGAGCGAGACTCCGTCTCAAAAAAAAAAAAAAAAAAGAAGGAGGTTTAATGGACTCACAGTTCCACATGGCTGGGGAGGCCTCACAATCATGGTGGACGGCGAAAGGCACGATTCACATGGTGGCAGACAAGAGAAGAGAGCTTGTTAAGGGAAACTCCCGTGTATAAAACCATCAGCTCTCGTGAGACTTATTCACTATCATAAGAACAGCACAGGAAAGACCCACCCCATGATTCAATTACCTCTCACCTGGTCCCTCCCACAACATGTGAGAATTCAAGACGAGATTTGGGTGAGGACACAGCCAAACCATAACACCTAATATTGGTAATTTATTTGTTCTCTTGTTTTATAATGATCAGTAAAGTTAGAAATTTGCCAATTTTATTGGTCTATTAAAAAAACTAGGTTTGGTTTTATTTATTTCCCTGTTTGTCCACTTATTTGGTAGGTGATATGGTGGATTTGTGTCCCCTCCAAATCTCATGTTGAACCATGATCCCGTGTTGGAGGCAGGGCTTAGTGGGAAGTGACTGGGTCATGGAGATGGCTCCCTCATGAGAGGCTTGGTGTCACCCCCACAATAATGAGTGAAGTCTTGCTCTGTTACTTCATGGAGAGCTGATTGTTCACAAGAACCTGGCACTCCTCCTCTCTGTCTCTCTTGCTCCTCTCACGCCATGTGATGCCTGCTCCCCGTCCACCTTCCACCATGAGTAAAGCATCCTGAGACCTCAGCAGAAGCTGAGCAGGTGCCATGCTTGTACAGCCTGTAGAACCAGGAGCCAGATAGCAATGGGCCTTTCCTTATAAAGTGCCCAGTCTCAGGTATTCCTTTAAAGCAGTGCAAATGGACAAACAGTGGAGTTTTTAAATTCTTGATTATTTTATTATTTTTAGTTATTTTGGGGTTCAACATATGCTTCTTTAGCTTCTGAAGCTGGAAGCTCAGATAATTGATTTTAGGCCTTCTTTTCTGATAAAGCAAATTACTATGCATTTTCCTCTACATGCTTTGTTAGCTGCATCCCATAAGTATTGATATGTGGTGATTTCATTTTGATTTTATTCCAGATATTTCATAATTTCCATTGTGATTTATATTTTTACTCATAGGTCTTAAAGTGTGTTATTTAATTTCCAAGTATGTGGCAGTTTTCTAAATGTCTTTCTGTTAATGATTTCCAATTCTGTGTGGTCAAGCAGCACACTCAGCCCTCCTGTCATTTCATCCCTCCTGAGGACACTGAGACTTGCACTCAGGTCTCTCCGGTGGTTTACGTTGGTGGATGTTCCATGTGCACTTTAAACAATGCACATCCCACTGTTGTTGGATGGGATATTGTATAAATATCCCCTAAGTCAGCTTGTTTTATAGTGGTTTCTCAACTTTTCTATACACCTCCTAGAAAACTACTTTCTGAAGGCAGAGTGAGGTTTGGTAAAGACACAAAGGACCTCAACCAGCAGTGTTCTCAGGTCACGGGAAGGGAAATAGCACTGTAGTTTAATGAAGATTCTGAAGACAGAGCGAGGTTTGGTAAAGACACAGAGGACCTCGACCAGCAGTGTTCTCAGCTCGCGGGAAGGGAGATAGCACTGTAATTTAATGAAGACTCTTCCACAGAATCCCCCTTCTCTGGAGTTATTTTTAACTCTCTGGTTCCATGGGTTGCAATCAACACATTGAGTTGTGTTGCTGAAAACCATGGGCATGTTCACCCTCACCCACCCTGGGACATCCATGTGTTTGTTCACCCATGAGGTGCCCACTCTCACCCACCCTGGCACATCCTTGTGTCTGTTCACCCAGGAGGTTTGCACCCTCACCCACCCTGGAACACCTGTGTATCTATTAACCTGTGAGATGCCCACTCTCACTTGCCCTGGGATATCCGTGTGTCTCTTCACCTGTGAGTTGTGCCCACCCTCACCCACCCTGGCACATCTGTGTGTCTGTTCACCCGTGAGTTGTGCACTCCCTTCCACCCCGGGACTGTGACTCCATGTGGCTAGTACTCTGGGTCTGTCCTCACAACTCCACCTTCACTGCAGCTGAGTTCCCAGGCCACTTTCTGACACCTGTGCATGGAAATTCTTTCTGATCTTATCATCATTGCTTTATGAGTATGTTTTATAATCATTGGAATAGTTGGCACTTCTTCCAGTGGTTACAACACATCATTATTCCAAATATAATTTTTAAAGACTTCTTAAAATGCCTAAAACTCCTCAGCCCATCCTGCTCTGGCCAGTCCGCTGGCCCTGGGCTCACTGTGGTTACACATGCTGTCTGTCATTCTTACCACTCCATTTGGAAACCTGAAAGAGGGAGTCCTATTTCTCTGACCTTAGAGAGGCTGGAGGGTCGAGGAGATGATTCTGCTCACACAGTGTGGAAGCGACAGAGACCCGATTCCAATTGCCAGCCTATGTTCCTCCCACCACACCAGTGATGTCTGCACAGGGCACAAGAGGATTTTAGGCAATGTCAATGAAGACTACTGATTTTGAAGCTAGGGGGGCATTTGGATAGGCTCTGGGCAAGCATGGCACTAGAAGACACCGTTCTTATTTGACAGGTATTGTGCAGAAGAAGGAGAATTTGAAAAGCAAATCAGCAAAAAGAACTATGACATGACAAACACCACAGGAGGGTTAGGGACAAACCCAAGGGCCTGAAATGGCCAAAGGGCTGCAAGGCTCCCCCCTGCCCATGTCCATCTAGCCTGGACCCCTGGAAGCCACACACCCGTGGGCACAGGAGAACACTCAGGGGACTGAATGACAGCAGAGGGTTGTGCACAAAGGAGAAAACCTTGGCCATGAGTTCCAGCCAAGACATCGATCAACACACCTGGATGCCAGCGCCATTGCAGTCTCAGGGCCTTTATTGGTCAGTTTGAGGGCCTCCAAAGAAGGCTCTGGGGCTCTGAGCCAGGAGGACAGAGACCTCACGGGTCAAGGCTGAGCTGACCCTCATGAGAAGTAGGAGATATGGAGGGGAGGCCACTGCCATGGGAACTTTCTAGAAGCACCCCCCACCCCACAAAAGGGCTGCAGCATTGAGTATAGACATTCAGTTCTTCCATTGTCCAGCTCAATAGCAGACACCGGGAAATGGTCAAAGTGCAGGAGCAATTCAGGACGTGACTATCAGCTTCCAGGTGGGAGCTGAGCCTGGCTGGCACTGGGGGGTGTGTCCATCAGCAGCTGGGCTTCTGACCTGAGCACACAGGGCCGCAGAAGAGGGACAAGCAGGAGGCCGGGCGGCAGCAGCTGGACTGGCAGGAGGAGGTGGGGGCACAGCAGGAGGGGACGGGCATGCAGCAGGCGGGCCTGCACACGGGGCGGCAGAGGAGGGACACGGAGGAGGAGGGTCTGCAGCAGGAGGTGGTGCAGCAAGCTGGCTGGCAGCTAGACTGCTGGCAGCATGAAGTGGAAGCCCCAGAGCAAACAGGCACGCAGCTCACAGGCTTGCAGCAGACAGGCACACAGCAGGCCTGCTGGCTTTGGGAGGAGGTGCAGCAAGCTGGCTGGCAGCTAGACTGCTGGCAGCACAGAGAGGAAGCCCCAGAGCAGACGGGCACACAGCAGACAGGCTTGCAGCACACAGGCTTGCAGCAGATGGGCATGCAGCAGGCCTGCTGGCAGGAGGAGGAGGTGCAGCAGGCTGGCTGGCAGCTAGACTGCTGGCAGCATGAAGAGGAATCCTCAGAACAGGTGGGCACACAGCACACAGGCTTGTAGCAGACGGGCACACAGCAGGCCTGCTGGCAGGGGGAGGAGGTGCAGCCAGCCGGCTGGCAGCTAGACTGCTGGCAGCACGAGGACGTGCAGGAGCTGGTGCAGCCTGATTGACAGGGGCTGAGCTCACAGGCCGCCTGGCAGCAGGGGCTGGACACACAGCTCACTGGGGTGCAGACCAGGGTCAGGCAGGGGGCTGGGGCGCAGCAGCTGGAGGCGCAGCAGGGGGGCTCGCAGCAGCTCTCTGGGCAGTCGTCCACCTGCCAGGAGTCAGAGCAAGAGTTACGGGAACCAGGAAGGCAGATGCGGCTGCTGTAGCTCAGGTCGCTGGAGCAGACGGACATGGTGGATGCTGCAGTGCTGGGGGTTGGGCTGGGTGAGATGGGAGGGAGTGGGTGAGGGAGTGAGTGAGGTGATCGGGTTTCTGGGGCTTTTATACTCCTCCTTGGCGCGTGTCGTCCAGACAGGAGGCTCAGCAGGCCCTCCCTTCCTTGTTGGGGTGTACAGCCAGCTCCAGGAGAATAAACAGTAGCTGTGTTTTTGTTTCCCAAGAGCTGTTGCTCAGTTTACAAAACTTGGAATTGGCCTGGGGCACGTGTGTGTTTTAGACTCAGGAGGAAGAGCTGAGGTGCAGGTCAGGCTGTGCTGCTTTGCTCCCCAGGCTCACGTGGAGGGTGGCGTGGTCTGTGTGTGCTGGGCTATGGGGAGCGGGTGCCTGCGGGTGGCTCTGCTGGGCCTTGGGTTTCTAGGCTGCTGAACAAGAGCATGTGCCTCTGTGATTCAAAGGTTAGGGAGAGATTCGTTTGGGTTCTAAATAAAGATAACGTGAGTCGTGATTTGTATGCAGTAACGTGTTCCTTTCCTTGGGCTGCCGTGACAAACAGCACCACAAACTGGCTGGTCACACAACAGAAATTCCGTGTCTCATGGTTCTGGAGGCCAGAGGTCTGAAATGGAGGTGTGGACAGCGTGGGTTCCTTCCGAGGCTGCAGAGGACACTGTCTCACCCCGCTCCCCTCACTCCTGTGGGCTGCTGCTATCTTTGGGGTCCTTGGCTTACAGTGGGCTCACCTGAGCTCCACCTTTATCTTCACACAGCTTCTCTCTCTGTGTGTGTGTGTGTGTGTGTGTGTGTCCAAATCTCCCCTTTTTATAAGGACACAAAGCATATTGCATATTGCAGTAGGGCTTATCCTAACAGCCTCCTCTTAACTTGGTCACCTACAAAGACCCTATTTCCATATAGGGTCACATTCACATGTGCCAGGGGTCAGGACTTTGGTACCTTTTGAGGGACACAATTCAATCCACAGCAAGCAGACACAATGGCAGAACCTGGGATGAGGAGGTGGGTGCGGGAGCAGAACCCGGGGTGGGAAGGCAGGTACAGCAGGAGTCTTTCTCGCTGACTTGGGCCTGGGGCCGGTGGAGCATGGAGGGGTGGCGAGGGTAGCACAGGACAGCAGGTGCCCAGCACCGGGCACTTGGCAGCCTTTGCTTGTGAGGTGTGGCTTGACCTCGTGGAATGGTTTTAGGGAATAGTGGTTGAAAAGCAGAGTTCACATCACCCTTCACCAGCTTCGCGACGCCACCGCAGGTCAGTTCCCAGCTCTGAGAAAGCGGCGCTGGTCTGTTTCTTCTCACCCAGGACAGGCTTTAAGCAGGTGCACTGGTTTCCCGCGGGCCCTGCTCAGGACCCCACATGGCGCTGGCCGAAAGGTCTCCTCGGCTGCTCTGGTTTGTGCCTGTTGCCCAGTCTCTCCTGGGCCTCAGCGACCTTGACTGATTGGGTGTTTTGTAGAACGCCCCTCGGTGTGGACTTGCCTGAGGTTTCCTCATGGTCACAGCGGGCATCGCGTTGGGGGAGGAATCCCACAGGAGCAGTGCACGCGGGGCACGGAGGGGACGCAGCCGTGTCCCATCCCTTGCGGTGCCGCCGTTTCCCTCTGTGATTGGTCATGCCTGAGACTTGGCAGCTGTCCTGCATCTGCCCAGGCGTTTGCCCAGTAGTGTTGGCACCCTCCGGGAGCCTGGCCAGTGCAGCCCCTGTGGGGCTCTGTTGAGGGTTCTCCTCCCTGCCTTGTTCCTTCCACACTTGCTAATTGAAATTCTCCTGGGAGGAGGAGCTGTCCTGCTCTTCTTTGTGTCTATTTGCTTCCTTATTTATTTACCTAGGTGTGGACTAAAGAATATTTATCTATTACTCGAGTTACAGTCCAATATCATCACTATGTATTTTGCGGTTGCAGTGGTTCCAACTTTGGCCCTCAAGTTCTTTCATTTTGGCCCTGGTACCCTTTCAACACGTTGTGCCTCCCTGACCTTTCTTTTTTTTTTTTTGTTTTTTGTTTTTGTTTTTGAGATGGAGTCTCGCTCTGTCGCCCAGGTTGGAGTTCAGTGGCACGATCTCAGCTCACTGCAAGCTCCGCCTCCCGAGTTCACGCCATTCTCCTGCCTCAGCCTCCCGAGTAGCTGGGACTACAGGCACCCAACACCACGCCCAGCTAATTTTTTGTATTTTTTAGTAGAGACGGGGTTTCACCGCGTTAGCCAGGATGGTCTCGATCTCCTGACCTCGTGATCCGCCCGTCTTGGCCTCCCAAAGTGCTGGGATTACAGGCTTGAGCCACTGCGCCCGGCATTGGTGGGAACTTTTAAACCATAACTGACAAGTTGCAGGCGCCCGAGTTCTTTTCTTCTTTAATGAGTTCTGGTGTTTGTGACTATCAAGGACTTGGCACAATTCCACATTATCTGAGGTTTTGAAGAGATACACATGGTATTGTTTATGGAGTTCCCTTATCAGCCTTTTAATTGCCAACAATTGTTTAGCAATATCCCCTTTTGTTTTCCATATTGTTTATCAATTTGATTGATCTCAAAGAACCAGCTTGGGTTTAATCAGTTTCCTCTATTTTCCTTTTGTTTTCAATTGCACGGACTCCTGCCCCATCCTTCCCTTTGCTTGCTGTGAGTTCCATTTCCTCGTCTTTCTCTAGTTTCTCAAAGCAAAGCTCCTATGTTGGATTCAATACCTTCCTTCTTTTCAAAGCAGCACTCGGCCCCCTCCTTCTGCATCCTCGGTGGCTGTACCCGGCCTGTGCCTGAGGCTGTGAATGAGCTAATCTCTGCAGTCCCTTCTGAAATTCCATAATTCCTGGCTTCTGGACCCATGCCTCACAGATGATAGAGTCAAGGAGGATGCCCCACAGGGTGGCTGTGAGGGAGGGTCAACCTCCAGAGGCCCTCACCCAGCACTGCTGAGGCTGTGTCGGGGACTCATCTGCCCTTGGGTTTCCACTCCCAGGAGGCTGAGAGGCACACAAGAAAACTGGCTGGACTGCAAGCGTGGGGTCTGGAGCCAGGGAGAGGCTGTTTTAATTAAACAGTGGAGGGAGAGGCTCTTGCTGGGATGGGCAGGATTCTGTTTCCTGATTGCCAAAGCCCAGTGAGCGATGGGCTGACTGTCTATCCCAGGGTTCAGCAGGGCAGAGGCTCATCCTGAGTGCTGGGCAGGATACCTTCTGGATGGTGGCCCCCATGTTTCCTCAATGAGGAGGTGGCCCCTGGTTGTGCTCCAGCTAAACCCCCGGGGGTGAGCCCAGCACCAGGCAGTGCTGTGCAGCAGGGTCTCTCTGAGACTGGGGGGAGGGGGCGGTAGGGTGCATGGGGTTTAGTTAGAGACCCATTCTCTCCAGGGGACCCAGGACACAACGCCACAGAATGTGGAGTCTCATCCCCCACCCCGGCCAGCCTGAGGCTTGGGCCAACATCAGAGCCCTGAGGCACAGAATCCCTCCACACCAAGAGGCCAGAATCCTCCCAGAGTCAGCCTGGGACCCCCAGACACACACAGCGGCCTCCCTCGGGGGTGGTCCCTGTACGAAGACCTCTCTACACACAGTGTCCACTGTTGCTGTCCCCCGTCGTGGCGTGGTTTATAGCACAGGGTCTTTCCAGGAAGCGGCAAAGCCTCCTCACACCCTACCTTTTGTGTTTAATTGCGTAAATAGTAACAATAATAATACATTCTCCTGTCCTAAAGCAGGCCACCCTCTCTTCACAGTGCTCCCCCCATCTGCGTGTCCCCACACTCTCCGGTGCTATGTGTCACACCCCCCACCACAGTACCCTCTGCGTCCTTTCCATCCTTGGCCCATAGTGTGTCCTGTCACATCTTCCCACTCCCGGCCAGGATGCTCACGGCCACTTTGCCGGCTGCTCCTGCACTGCACGTCTGGGTCACATCCGGTTTTTCTAATGAAGAAGTGCCCTTCACGCCCTGTGTGCGGACGGCGATGCTTTTCTAGGGTATGCCCTTCTGCAGACCTGCTCCATCCCAGGTGCTCACACTCTCAGGAGGACGCAGAGGACCTGAGTGTCACTGCAGCTGTGGCACTGTGAGCACATGGTGGTGCAAGGAAGGGCTGCCTTCTCCTGGCCTGGACTGGCGTCCTGCTCTCCAGCTGCTCACTGGGGCCCCGCCACACGCAGGCAGGTGCGGGAGGAAGGCCTCTGCTTGAGATCTTTGACCAAAGCCCTTCCAGGACCTTTACAGGAAAGCCATGACATTCCCTGCGCAATGCCAGCCAGGACGGGCACGTGGGGGAAGATGAACCTAGAGGGCTGAGTGCCAGAGTGGACTGACCCAACACCCCCATGCCAGGCTGAGGCAGAAGGCCCCCCAGCAAGACTGACAGACCAAGGGAGACAGCTCCGGAAACACCTGCTTCATTCAGCCACGCCCTGGCATTTACCCAGGCTGGGGCCAGCTGCAGTGGCCGGGTTGAGGAGGGTCCAGGCATTAGCCTCAGGCTCTGCTCCCAGCCACTCAGCCTGGGCCAGGGATCTGGTCTGCAGGCCTCTGCTAGCCCTGAATGCCCTCCGCGCTCCCCATTTTCCTCCCTGTCATCCAGCCTCAGAGGAGGCCAGGCCAGCCCATCAATTATGTTCCCACAAACTTTGAACTGTGAATCCGAGGTTCCCCAGGAGCTTATCCGCTCCCCCGGCATGCCCAGAGGGGGATGAGGGGAAGACACCGCCGGCTCCACGGCAGCTCCAGTCTCCCATAGCGCCCGAGGGCAGCACAGGGAACCAAGGGAGGCCAGCAGACAGGAGCCTGGGCCTGCCTGGTCTCATTCCCAGCCGCTTCCTGCGTTTCCTTTGGGGTCCCCATGGCTGCGGTGGGGCCATGCGTTCCTTCCTTCGTCCTGCACAGCTCACCCTGCACAGTGCCTGGCTGCCGACTTGAAAACAGCAGCCATGGGTGGAATGTCACCTGCAGCTCAGAGGCAGCCATGCAAGATCCCCCAGGAGCAGGAGGAGGAGTGGGGGAGGCCACATGGGCACGCCTCATGGTGCCTCTGTTTCCTCGCCACTGAAACAGAGATAACCGCGGCTCGCAGTTCACAGGGGCTGCAGTGCTGTGTAAAGAGCCTGCCACGCTGATATATGGTGGCTGTCATGGTATCCACTTTTGGGGGTGTCCTGGCCTAATCTACCTGTGATTTCTTTGCCACAGACCTGCGCCCCCTGGACATCCTGGCGGAGGTGGTCCCTTCTGATGGCGCCACAAGCGGGATCAGGATAGTTCAGGTTCACGGTGCACGGGGACTCCAGCTCTCGGCAGCCGCCCCCCACGTCATGAGCTTCCCTGCATCCAGGATTTTCTCCCAGTGTGACCTCTTCCCTGAAGAATTTTCCATCGTTGTAACCTTGAGAGTTCCCCATCTTCCACCCAAGGTCAGTGGCACTTTCCGCGCTTCGTGTTAGAATAGCGTGATTTTCCCTCGTGAGGTTCCCGGTTCCAATGCGTGCACAGGTTGAGGGGCGGCATTAGTCAAGGACTCTCTGGGTTTCTCTGGGATCAAGAGTGTCTTGCCTTGCTAGGTAATGAGGTCCCTGTCACTGGCAGTATGTGAGAGTCTGTGTGACCATTTGCTAGGGGTTTGCACAGCCAATTCCTGCAATTGAGGGTCTAGTGCTCAGAGTTTTTATGTTGACATCCTTTAGCAGGAAGCGCTAACAATAAAATCACATCTAAAAAGGTACACTTTGTAGACCCATTCATCGAAGACTTGAAGTGCTATCAATCCCAAATCTAACAGGTAAGCCCCATTCCATCCTCTGCCTACTAGTTTGGAAGGTGAAGACAATAATGTCTGTCTCTGTCCCCTCCCCACAGTTTCTGGGACAGTGCACATCATATCTGTGCAGCAGGTCCTTATGAAGTAAATAAAAATGAATTTGCATTTCCAATTCAGCATCATTGATGAAAAAAGGAAAAGCCCTTCTTCCGGCAGTGGCTGCTCTGGCCGTGCGATATTCCATTGAGTGTGACTCCGTGCTGGTCTCTGCATACGCACCCATCCTCTCTCCTCTTCCTTCTAACCTGCTGTAAACCCCAACCACTGAGTTCTCAGTGTCAATATTTTCCAGTTCCCTAACTTCCTTTTTTTTATATAACTTCCAATGTTTAGGTTAAAGTCTTCATCTTCTCAGCTATTTTCTTGAGCGTGGCTCCAATGTTCATTATGTGGACAACTCCAATATGCAGTCCACCTAAAAGACTGGTTCTGTTTTCTACTTTATCTTTCTACTTTCTGTCATGCACCATACTTTAAAATTTTTATTTATTTATTTTGAGACTGAGTCTTGCTCTGTAACCCAGACTGGAGTTCAGTGGCACAATCATGGCTCACTGCAGCTACCTCAAGCTACCTTCCCACCTCAGCCTCCAAACAGCTGGAACCACAGGTTCTTGCCACCACTCCTGGTGAATTAAAAAAAAAAAAATTGTGTAGAGATGGGATCTCACTATATTGCCCAGGTTGGTCTCGATCCTCCTGCCTCAGTCCCCTAAAGTGCTGGGATTATAGGTGTGATCCCCCGTGCCCAGCCATGCCTCGGACTTTTTAACAGCTCTGTTGAGATGTAATTCGCATGCCCTACAATTCACCCATTTAAAGTGTATAATTTGATGGTTTTGGTAGATTCACAGATATGTACAAGCAATTGTAGGACACTTTCCTCACTTCAGAGGAGGCCCGTAGGTTAAATATCACCCTGGACCCTGCCTCAGCCCAGCGCTAAGCACGGACTATGCTCCTTTCTGTCTCTAGGGATTTGCCTCTCCTGCGTGTTCCTTGTAAAGGGAATCGTAGGGTGTATTTCTTTTGTGGCTGGCTTCTTTTGCTTAGAATGTCTTCAAGGTTTATCCATGCTGCGGCTTGTGTCAGCACTTCATTCCTTCTTACGGTCCAATAATACTCCATGGTATGGGCCTGCCACAGCGAGATTATCCTTTTCTCAGCTGGTGGGCGTGTGGATTGCTTCCACCGTTAGGCTGTTAAGAATAACGTTACTACAGGCATTCATGCAGTCCTGTGTGCGCTTTGTGTGGACGTATGTTTTCATTTCTCCCGTGGGTGCACTTAGGAGCGGATCCCTGCATCTTGTGGTTAACTTTTCGAGGAACTACCAGCCCTCTTACCAAGCTTGCTGGCAGCATTTTATATTCCTGCCAGCAGTGTGCAATGGTTGTGATTTCTCCACAGTCTTTACTCTCCTCAAGGCCCAGAAACTGAGGTTCTCCTAACCTCATCCCTCTTTAGGTGCAGAAGTCTTTTATAAGTGCAAACTCCTCCTGGGATGGAGCAGAGGGCTGTCAATTCCAGAATATCGCCTCATTGCCACTGTCCCTGCTTCTGGAGTGTGCTTTGATGCAATCAATATATTTCTACTGATTTATTTATGGACAAACCCACGTTAGGGAAGACCCAACTCCAGTCAGGAGCCTCACAAACCAGAGCATCCACAAACAATGAAGCAACACTACTAACACAACAGTGCCTACAACAACAAGGAAAAGGAAGGCTTCTCGAAGCCAGCCAGGGGTAGCACAATCAACACAGAGGGGTATAAAGGTTCCAACCACTCAGAACACCCGGCACGACCACTCACTCACTCACTCACTCACTCACTCACTCACTCACTCACTCACTCACATCTCCCCCAGCTCACCTCCTCCCACACCCCAGCATGGCCACATCCACCATGTCCGTCTGCTCCAGCACTTGCTCTGACTCCTGGCAGGTGGATGACTGCCCAGAGACCTGCTGTGAGCCCCCCTGCTGCGCCCCCAGCTGCTGTGCCCCAGCCCCCTGCCTGACCCTGGTCTGCACCCCAGTGAGCTGTGTGTCCAGCCCCTGCTGCCAGGTGGCCTGTGAGCCCAGCCCCTGCCAATCAGGCTGCACCAGCTCCTGCACGCCCTCGTGCTGCCAGCAGTCTAGCTGCCAGCCAGCTTGCTGCACCTCCTCCCTGTGCCAGCAGTCCTGCTGTGTGCCCGTCTGCTGCAAGCCTGTGTGCTGTGTGCCCATCTACAGTGGGGCTTCTTCTTCATGCTGCCAGCAGTCTAGCTGCCAGCCAGCTTGCTGCACTTCCTCCCCCTGCCAGCAGTCCTGCTGCGTGCCCGTCTGCTGCAAGCCCGTCTGCTGTGTGCCCGTCTGCTGCAAGCCTGTGTGCTGTGTGCCTACCTGCTCTGAGGATTCCTCTTCATGCTGCCAGCAGTCTAGCTGCCAGCCAGCTTGCTGTACCTCCTCTCCATGTCAGCAGTCCTCCTGTGTGCCCGTCTGCTGCAAGCCTGTCTGCTGCAAGTCTGTCTGCTGTGTGCCCGTCTGCTCTGGGGGTTCCACTTCATGCTGCCAGCAGTCTAGCTGCCAGCCGGCTTGCTGCACCACCTCCTGCTGCAGACCCTCCTCCTCTGTGTCCCTCCTCTGCCGCCCTGTGTGCAGGTCCACCTGCTGCGTGCCCGTCTCCTCCTGCTGTGCCCCCGCCTCCTCCTGCCAGGCCAGTTGCTGCCGCCCGGCCTCCTGCGTGTCCCTCCTCTGCCGCCCCGTGTGCTCCCGCCTCTCTTCTGCGTGCTGCGGCCTCTCCTCAGGCCAGAAGTCCAGCTGCTGATGGGCAGGTCCTGTTTCTCCAGAGTTGTTCCAGGGCCATCTCTGACTTCCGAAAATCCTTGCAGCCCTGAGCCCTGTCTGAGTCTCCTCTGCCCAGAGCCACTGCACCTCCAGCGGGCAACGCTGAGCCTTCATGCTGAGTTCCCTCCAGGCATGCATCTCTCCCACACCCTCATCTCCATCCCGGCCAGCCGGTGGTCGCTGTGTCCTGCCCCATGTGTGTGATCAGTCTGTCAACGAATAAAGTCACCACTGTGCCCTCTCAGAGGTCTTTTTTGTATATCTGGCAAGCCCTGGGGGAAGAACTTCGATGTGCTGTGTGGGGTGGGAGCTTCGGGCCTCTGGCCTTGAGCTGCATCCAGGCTGACAGCACCGGGGGCGGAGGCAGTCCTGACTTCCCGCTGTGTGGGGTCTGCTGCTGTGGGGTCCCCTGCCAGCCTCAGCATCTCCAGGCCCCAGGGGTGCCCTTCTCTATGAATGCCCTGCACCCACCGGGCCTGGCCTCTCCCTGGGCTCCTCCCTCTCTCTCCTTTCTCTGCCTGTCTGATCCCCCACTCACCATCTTCTCACCAGCCCTCTCTTATTAAATGAAATAAATACTTCTCATTCCTGGAAGATATTTTAGAGCTGATACTTATTTCAAAGTATCTGTGTATGTTTGTTGGACGGTCTGTGTACGATCATCCCAATGCCTGAAGTCTCTGTGGGTCCATTTCAGCTTTCTGTCATTTCCGCCAGTTCTCACTCATGGTGTCTTGTTTCCTTGTGTGCTTTGCTGTTTGTGACTGAGTAACCACCGTTGTGCTTGAAAAGTATTTGTGGGCATTTCTGAGGCCTCTAAGACAGGTGTGTTTGCTTTTGTCTTATATGAGGAACCCTCTGATTCCAGGATCACCTTCAACTAAATTCATGGCTTCGATTTGTGTGGGGCACCCAAAAGGTGCCAGTTCGGGCTGCAAAGCAGAATGAGGCCAGGCTTATTGGGGCAGGATGTTCTCCTCTGGGTGTGCTGAGTCCCCAGGCAGCCAGCAGCCTCTGGGATGGACATAAGCCCATGCTTACCTCTGACTCCCTCTTCTCTGAGGGTGCAGCCTGTGCAGTCTCTAGCTTCATGTAGGGATAGTCTCCTTTAGACCCCACCACGATGGGGGCTCTTGGCTTTGATTTCTGTCCCCTTCATCCTGCAAAACCATTCAATCCTAAATTTAAAATTGGCAGACCAGCGAATGCCCTCAAGAACAAAGTGAATTCTGGGTGTTTCTAAATGCTGTGTGTTAGAGCAAGAGTCGTTCACCTGTGGTCTGTGACCTTGGATGAGAAGAAAAAAAATGCATCTTTATTCTCCCAAACCTTTAACTGAAATGTAGTGTTTCAACCAATTATGAATGTAGACGACAAAACTTACAGCGGCACCTGCAGCTTTGTCACCAACAGGAATGAAATGCGTGGCGTCACATTACACTGGCTGCAAATGCTCAAAACCTCATTCTGGCCACGGCTGTTTCATAATTATGGTAGTACAAGATGCACCTGCTAGGTTCCACAGGCACGTTCCCTAGGGAAGCACGCTATATCGCCAGTTCGCTTTTCACAGCGTAACAGCTGCGTTCTCATGTAGTTGCTTTCCTTTTACTCATGTGAAAACCTTCAAAGCTTTCATGAACTGGCCGGGAAGGTCCCTGGCGCACAAAGGGCGAAGACCCCTCCCTTTGATTTGGGCCTGTAATCCCGTAATTCTTTGTTCCTTTTCCAGTTTCCTGCTGCGACTAGGAAAATTCTTCCTAGTGTTTTCAATTGTTTTCAGCAAGATGATGGGTCGAACAATCTCACTAACAGGTTTCCAGAACTGGAATCCCTGGAGAAACGTCTACTTTTTCTTTTCTCTCTTTTTTTTTTTTTTTTTTTTTTTTGAGATGGAGTCTGGCCCAGACTGGAGTGCGGTGGTGCGATCTCGGCTCACTGCAACCTCCACCTCCCGAGTTCAAGGGATTCTCCTGCCTCTCCTCCTGAGTAACTGGGATTACAGGTGCCCGCCACGATGCCCAGTTAATTTTTTTTAATTTTTAGTAGAGACAGGGTTTCACCATCTTGGCCAGGCTGGTCTTGAACTCCTGACCTTGTGTTCCACCTGCCTCGGCATCCCCAAAGTGCTGGGATTACAGGCGTGAGCCACCGCACCGGGCTTTTTTTGTTTTGTTTTGTTTTTCGAGAGTGGGTATCACTCTGTCGCCAGGCTGGAGTGCAGTGGTGCGATCTCAGCTCAGTGCAACCTCTGCCTCCCGGGTTCAAGCTATTCTTCTGCCTCAGCCTCCTGAATAGCTGGGACTACAGGCACGCACCACCACGCCTGGCTAATATTTGTATTTTTAGTAGAGACAGGGTTTTACCACATTGGCCAGGCTGGTCTTGAACTCCTGACATCGCGATCTGCCTGCCTTGGCCTCCCAAAGTGCTGGGATTACAGGTGTGAGCCACCATACCCGATGCGACTTCTTAATTCTTAAGAATAACTGGAAATTTTCCGTAACCTTCCCCTGTTGTTGGTAACGATTCCTTAGTTCTTGAGTTGGTCTTTTCCTTTGAACCGTTGTATCTATTAACTTGTCCCGGCAGTCATTTATTCCTTCGCAGTTTCCATGGCATGTCTGTGCAAATGCGATACAGAGTTAAAAGTCCCTGTCTGAGTGTCACAGGCTCCCAGGACGGAAGGACACAGGCCCCTTGTCACTGTCATTTTCCTTTGCGAGCTCCCAGCCTGACCACCAGGACAAGGGGAGCGGGCAGGGCAGGAAAAGCTGTCCCCAGCCCTCTCTGTGTCCCGGGTCTGATCAGCAGCCCAGAGCGAGGCTGCCTTGCCCTGAGCCCCACGACTGTGTGTGTGCAGCCTCCACCCTGCTTGTGAAGGGGGGTGGGATGTGTTTGTGTTGGGGGCTGGGGGACTCACCACACAAGGACTGGGAGGGGACTTCTCACGCTAGGGCTCCCAGATCCTGGTGCCCTTCACCACCCATCTCCCACAGCCCTTGACCAGCTGGCCTAGCGAAGTGCCCACGTCTCCCCACTGGGTGGGACTCTGTAAGGGAACGTGGTTTCTGCATCTTCAGGGAGTTCTGAGCCAGGCTGCCCTCCCTTTGGCTCATCCTGTGGGATGTGGGGGCCCTGCTAGTGCGGGAGTCCCCATTTCTAGGCTGTGTGGGTCACCCCGTGGGAAGGATGGGAGGGGAGGCTCTGTGTGGCCCCCGCCGCCCTTGGACCTGGGAGACATCTCTTTTCCCTCCCATTACTGTTTAATTGTGACATTAGTTACCTTATTTCGGTTTTTATTTTATAAACCATTTTGAGAAATGTTTTCATCTAATTGGAAACATCTGGTGAAATTTCCTCTCCTTTCGAACTGGCCGCTTCGCTCCTCATCCTCACATTTTCAGGGTCTTCTCTGCTTTGGAGGTTTTCCTCCTGTTTCAGCTGCTTTTCCATCTTTAGAATATCCACCACGGTTTGCTTTTTTCTCTTCTACTTTTATTTGCTGTTTTGAAAAATATACATTCTGTTTTTAATTGTACTAATAAATAACTTTTAAGTTTACCTTTATGTTTATTTTTTAATTATTAAAGTGAGGAATGGAACTGCAATTTGAGAATTTCTATTTAAAACAGAATTAATCTTGCTCTTCTTAACATCAGCCCACATGTCCACCCCCACCCGCTTCTTAGTCTTTCTTGTTTAATTGGAAGCAACATACAGCATATTCCGGTAGAAACAGAACCACACATGCAATCCTAAATATTATAACAGCCACATTTAAAGATGGCAAAAGGAACAGGTGAAATTAAATTAATAATAGATCTTATTTGACCTGGTACATCCAGAATGCTACCATTTCAACATGTGGCAGGAGCCACATTTCAAGCACTCAAGAGCCACATGTGGTTAGTGGCCTCTCACATTAGCATGCAGTAAAGTATTAGGGTCTTATCATTGCTATTCAATTAGGATGTTGAATATGCATCTGTTGTATGCATCTGTTATAACAGTTGGGAAATTTGTATTTGCAGTTATAACTGAGCACATTGGTTATCTGGACACAGGTCGGTGTCTTCCTGTCTTCGTATCTGAGCCAACCCTTTGATACCCCAGCCTCTGCAATCTGGAGCCCTTGTCTTAGATTCTTCTCTGCCATAGTCAGCTGAGGCTGCCATAACAAATTACTGTGGACTGGAGGGTCTTGAGCAGCAGGCATTTCTTTCTCCCAGTTCTGGAGGCTGGAAGTCCAGGATCAGGCAGGGTGCCACATGGTGGGGTTCTGGAGAGGGCTCTCCTCCTGGTCTACAGACAGCCACCTTCTTGCTGTCTTCACATGGCCCAGATAATCTCTCCAGGGTTTCTTCTTTAAAGGGAACGAATCCCATTCTTGAGGGCTCCACCCTCCTGACCTAATTACCTCCCAAAGGCCCCGCGTCTTAATAGCCTCATATTGGAATTAGGGTCTCAACGTGTGAATTTTGGGAGGACACAAACCTTCCATCCATAACAATCACTTTGCCATTTGTCATACTTCCTTAAGTATTTTTTCCAAGAGAGATACCTGGGTGGAGTACTTTCTAAGCTCTTGCTTTTGTGAAAATATGTCACTGTTATCTTTATTTGAGAAAGATGTAATAATTTGAAAAAAGGAAAAGTAGAGCCTTAGTCCGCCAAAGATTCCCCTGGAAGCTCTGAGGATATTGCCATACCCTGGTTAGTGGGACGGGGGTCTGAGGTCAGCCTGATGCAGTTCATTTCCAGATCGTATATTACTCGTCCTGCCCGTGAGAGGCCTGTTCTTAGGTCTTCTACGTTGAAAAACTTGTCAATGCATGTCTAGGGTGGGCTCTGAAGGCCTGATTTTCTTGAAATTCATTAAGTTCTTCTACTCCAAATACACACACCTCTGTCCATTCAGCCCAGAATACCTGATCCTCAATTATTTCTTTGATTATTACTTTGATCCTATTTGTTTTTTTCTCCCTAGCAATTGAATTTTCATGTTTGATCTCAGCTAAATATACCCTCTGTTTGTTATCTTTTCTCGCATTATATTTGTGGGTTTTATCCTTTACCTCGGTGTTTGGAAGAATACATGTTTGGACTCAAAATTGAATTGATTCTCTGGGGTATTAGTTTTGTTCTGCTTCTGATGTGAATTTTTAATCCAGCTGTTTGGTATTCAATTTGGTATTGAAGACTTGCTGTCTTTCATCTTCAACTTTTTTTTTTTTTTTAGAATCAGAGATGCACTGGTTGAGACTATAGACCCTCTGTACAGACCGGCTGGCTTCTAGTCCTGGTTCTGTCACTTTTTTCTGTGTGACTTTGAGCAGATTGCTCAACCTCTCTGCTGAGGCTACCATGTCTGTCCATAGTAACTTCGACAAGGAGTTGATGCCAAAATTAAGTGAGTTAATAGATGCCAAGTGCTTGGCATGCTGCTGGCATAGCCACGTGCTTGTCAAATGCTCTCTGACCTCGCCAGCTTCATCATCAGTGCTACTAGGGGGTCGTTTTCTAAGATCGCTGAAGCTGTCACTACAGTCACATGCTAGACTTTGGGGTTCCAGGTCTGTGGGACCCACCCCTTCATTAGGGAACGCAGCTGCCTCACTTCCCTTCGGCTCTCGCCCTGCCTCCCGGTGCCGACTGCCCTGCGCCTTCAGATGCCAGGCTTTTGTCAGGAGCTGAGTCTTCACAGACGTCCCCCCTGCGAGGTCGGAGGGGCGTGTCTGACAACCGCCATGGAGGGCGGAGTGACTGGCACGTGCTGCAGGCCCCAGGTTCAGATGGAATTTCCATCACAATGGCAAGGCAGGTGTGCAGGGAGGGGCTGTGGGGGCTGTGAGTTTATCCCACATCCAGCCAGTGCGCATGGCCAGTGACAGTCACAATGGCAGTGACTCAGATCTTTAGGTGGACAATTGTGTCACCCGCGAACAACAGACATCCACACCTCATTTCTATTCCTCGGCTTGCTGCTTTGACACCCTGCAGGACAACAGAGAAAGGCTCTGGTGACCAGGGGCCTGCTCACCTCCTGCTACGCTACGACAGGAGAGCTACCAGTGAGCCTCCCTAGTGCTGTAGGCTTTCCGGGCCACCACGAAAGCCCGGCCCAGGCTGCTGTAGCCTCATCCCCAGCTGGAAGAGGCTGGAAGGACATTGGGAGATGTTGGTGGTTCCTGGTGAGAACCAGCTTCAGGCTGTGCAGGGCTCAGGCCCTGAGAGAGAGGAGCTTGCCTGTGACCGTCCCTGCCCCGGGGTCAGGGCCCGTCCTGCCCGATGACCTCCCAAGCACAGGCTGGCTTTGCCCACCCCAGGTGTCCTTCACTGTCCGCGTGACCCTGATTCCACATCCTCCTCCCCAAGGCAGAGGCCCCTCCCCACCTCCAGGCCCTAATCTGCACCCGCCCCTCTTAGGACACCTGACCACGGCTCCAGGAGACAGCAGTCCAGACCCAAAGGCCAGTCCCCAAGCCTTGTCCTCCTAATGAGCTGACTGTGCAGAGGCCTTGCCGGAATGTTCCGTTTCCATCTCAGGGGAGGGGAGGTCCTCCCTGCCCTCCTGCCTTTGGCAGACATCAGGATCTCAGAGGATCCCAGAGCCCACCAGGAAGCGGTGTCCCAGCGCCTTTTCCCAACACAGGCACCTCTGTCCTGGCTCTCCCAGTCGCAGCCACACCAGCCCACCCCGTGCGGTCCCTGCAGACAGAGGCTGGGCATCCCCCGGGCCCCACGCCGGGCACAGTCACGGGACCTGCCAGGTGGAAGTCACCAGGTCAGCCCCAGAGAGGCCACCCCTTCCCTCCTGGTGTTCCCGGGGACAGGCTCAGCCAGGGGCACCAGCCTGGTCCAGAACCAGCCGAGTGTTAGGAGCAGAGTGAGGACAAGTCATGGCAAGGGAAGCAGAAATAACGAGGGTCCTTCCGGCTCCAAACACCAACACGGAAGGGAAGGGCGTTGCTGAGTCTCCTGCTAGGAAAACACAGGCCCTGGGCATATAAAAGCCCCAGCAGCCAACAGGCTCAGACACACACTTACTCACACACTCACTCACTCACTCACACCTCCCCCAGCTCACCTCCTCCCCACCCCAGCATGGCCGCATCCACCATGTCCATCTGCTCCAGCACCTGCACCGACTCCTGGCAGGTGGACGACTGCCCAGAGAGCTGCTTCGAGCCCCCCTGCTGTGCCCCCAGCTGCTGCGCCCCAGCCCCCTGCCTGACCCTGGTCTGCACCCCAGTGAGCTGTGTGTCCAGCCCCTGCTGCCAGGCAACCTGTGAGCCCAGCCCCTGCCAATCAGGCTGCACCAGCTCCTGCACGTCCTCGTGCTGCCAGCAGTCTAGCTGCCAGCCGGCTTGCTGCACCTCCTCCCTGTGCCAGCAATTCTGCTGTGTGCCCGTCTGCTGCAAGCCTGTGTGCTGCAAGCCTGTCTGCTGTGTGCCCACCTGCTCTGGGGATTCTTCTTCATGCTGCCAGCAGTCTAGCTGCCAGCCGGCTTGCTGCACCTCCTCCCCCTGCCAGCGGGCCTACTGTGTGCCCGTCTGCTGCAAGCCGGTCTTCTGCATGCCTGTCTGCTCTGGGGCTTCCTCTCCGTGCTGCCAGCAGTCTAGCTGCCAGCCAGCTTGCTGCACCTCCTCCTGCTGCAGACCCTCCTCCTCCGTGTCTCTCCTCTGCCGCCCCGTGTGCAGCTCCACCTGCTGCGTGCCCATCCCCTCCTGCTGTGCCCCCGCCTCCTCCTGCCAGCCCAGCTGCTGCCGCCCAGCCTCCTGCGTGTCCCTCCTCTGCCGCCCTGTGTGCTCCCGCCCGGCCTGCTGCAGTCTCTCCTCAGGCCAGAAGTCCAGCTGCTGATGGCCATGTCCCCCAGGGCCAGCCAGGGGGACTCCCTGCCAGTCCTTGGACCTCCCAGCCCACCCAGCCCCAACACAGCCCAACCACAGAGAAGAAGCAGCCCCACCCACAGCCGTCCAGCCCAGGGGTGGGGTCTGAGATGGTCACTGGCTCCTCCCAGACCTCCCCCAGGGTGGGCGAGCCCTGGCTGCTCCTCGTGGCGCCTCCTGGCTGCAGACCACGACCCTCTGCTGGTCGGGTACGGGCCCTCCTGACCCGGGTCTCGTACCCAGGAGTGTCACCCTCTGCCTCTGGGCACAAATAAAGCCTCTGCAGCCCCAGCTGACTCTGTGCTGACTGTCCGCACCCAGGGCGGGATGGGGCAGAGTGGGGCCTGGCCTGGCTCTGGGGGGCTGGGCCCTGTGGATCTCTTTACATCCCCAGCTGGGGGGCCGTGGGGCGCTCTTGGGTGACACCTGGAAGCTCCTGTCCACCTTCTGGCACGTTCTGCTGTCTGGCTCCTCTCCCAGGTCCTGTAGGGCCCAAAAGCTTTGCTCACTGGCTGAGTCCCACGGACACCACATGGCTCGGGCCAACGCTCCACTCACTGTGGGTAGAAGCAGCTCCTTCCCATGGCAAGGGTTGGGGCTGTCCCAGGGGCTGGCAGGCCCCAGCTGTGCTGGGAGGTGGGACATGGGGGCAGACTTGGGCTCCAGCTGTCCCTGTGCTCAGGGAGTTCCACTCAGGGACAGCTTGGGCATCCTGGCCTCCTGCGCACACTCACAGACGCTCAGGGACGCCCTCTGTTCCTGCGCCAGGCTTGTAGCTGGGATGCAGAGCAGAGAACAGGGACGCGGCCTCCAGAGCTCCCTGTGCTGGGCTGGGTGGGCGGAGGGCCGGTGGGAACAGGAAAGCCCCAATGGCAGAGGAAGCCTGGGACAGCGTGGGGACACATGCAGACCAGAGGGCGAGAGAAACACACGGACACACAGGTCCAGGTGTAGCCAGATGTGGTTTCAAACAGGATGGAGCCAATCTGAGAAGAGACTCCTAGAAATGCAACTGCAGGCAAGGGACGCTGGCGAGGCGACGGTCATCACGTTGTCCACAAGAGGCCCCGAGTCTTTACTTCTTAACAGCTACACGATCACGATGCCGGGCCACACGTTGTTCTTTTTTTGCCAGGTTGATTAACAAAAATATTTTCTCATGGTTTTCTTCAGCAAGGAGTGCAGCGTTCCAAAGTGTGGACGCGCCACACTTGATGTCTGCAATGCCAGGTGGATGGCCTTGAACGTCTCTCCAGTTGTTAATTATTACAAACGATGCCTCTTGTGAGATATGGCAAGGTTTCTCTTCAAACAGCCTGATCAATCCTTTATTGTTTAATTCCCAGTACCCCTCCCTGTCTCTTTCTTCTTCTTTCCTTCTTTCTGCTTTTCCTGCATGCCCAGGCATGCCACAGCACCAGTGGCCGTATCAGCACCAGCTCACATTCCTTATTTGAGAAAAGACTGACTCTCTAGCTCACTGCAGACGACCCCTTCCCCTAAACGTTTAGCCAATCGGGTTCAGCTTAGATTGCACGGTCTGACCCTGGCCAGTTAAAAAAGGGCATAGGGGCAGGATTTGCAACAAAAATAAAAACTTTCACTCTCCTTTGTTCTGTGTGCTCTCGTGGCAACCAGCCATAAGAGAGGCACCTCTCTGTGCAAAGATAATTTTGCTTTGCTAAAAAATCCTTTGTCTAAGTGCTAGTTTTCCTTACGACTCTGGTTCTATTTCTAACACCTCTGTGGGTGTTTCTACCAGATACCTTTCCACACTCAGGTACATTTTTGCCTAAATTCCTAGAAGTGGGATTGCTAGCACCGAGTGTTCATGGATTTTGAATTCATAGAGATACTGAGAAATGCCCTCAAAGATGGTCCCTAATTGTGCCCGCGAATACCGATGTCAGAGGAAATGGCGCAGTGGGGAACTGTGAGGGCCTTTCCCTCCAGGGAACATCAGAAAGTGGCAAAACCCAAACAAACCAACCCGCTGCCCCTGGCCAGCGTTCCCTGGCTCTGCAGTTGTATTTCTAGGAGTCTACTCTCAGATTTGTTCATCCTGTTTGAAACTGTGTCTGGCTCCATCTGCACACGTGTTCGCGTGTTCACGTGTTCTCCCACCCTCTGGTTTGGACGTGGTCCCACATTGTCCTAGGCTTCCTCCACCATCGCTTCCCCAAGACCTCCCCGTCCCCACCTGCCGTCCACCCACCCACCCCAGCAGAGGGGGTTGGAGTTCAATTTTATCTGAACTCTGGAAAATATTTGAAGGTTTGCAGCAGGCAAGGGAACATATAACCAAGAAAAAGCAACAGAACCAAATAGGAGAACCTTGTGGATTTTAACTTCCCCTTGCCCCATTCCCCATCTCCAGCTGGGTGACAGTTAGGAGGACAGCAGTCGGAGTTCCTGGTGTGGGGTGCTGCTGCCAGGGAAGCAGAGGGGACCTTGTTTGCAAGGCAGTGAGGTTGTCCGTTTCCACCCGTCTGGTGGCTCCCTGAAGGACTAACACACAGGGCTTGCCTTATTTCACCAACTCAGACTCAAGGCAGAGAGCAGCTACACCAAGGCTTTGTCAGAACGTTAAACAGTCACTGCCACCTGGGGCCAAAGATATCAGCCAGAAAACACTGGGCACACCTGAAAAGCCTGGGAGGAAAAGCTGGGAGATGGCATGCTTTGAGGAATAAGGGAGTTGGGAGATCCCACTTATTCTTGGGAGTCCAGAAGGTCCCCACACATGCCCATGACGGGGCACAGCCTCAGAAAAGACCTGAGAAGCTCTCAGTGCTCACCTCTGGCTGAACTGCAGGCTCTGAGCAAGCAGGAAGTGAAGGTGCAAGCAGGAAGTGAAGGTGCAAGCAGGAAGTATGAAGGTCCAAGCAGGAAGTGAAGGGGAGGCAGAGTCGCAAACTCCCCAGCTGAGTGCTGAGGGTGTGGACCAACGTACAGAGCCCAGCTACAAGCCCTGGAGAAAAACATTTTTTTGATTCCAGGGGTTTAAGGAACTCTCTGTCAAATTACTGTCTCAGCACTAAGCTAATAGAACAGTGAGCACACATGACGAAGAAACTATTTTTTTAAGGTGACATAAACAAGCAAAAACAACCACAATCCACAACAATCAGCAACAGCAAATTGCACAGATGGGGAGAACCTAATACCCAGAAATATCCCATTGTAATAGTCACTGTCCAGTTTTCACCAGACAGAGCAGGAAGAAATATGAGCTACTCGTGGGGAAAACAATTAATAGAAAATCTTCCTGAGGAAGACCAGAATTGGACTCACTAGATAAAGTCTTTCAATCAACTCTCTTAAACTGTTCTAAAAACTAAATAAAATCACAGACAAAGAATTAAGATAAACCAGGAGAATGATGCCTCACCAAATAGACAATATCAATAAAGACATAGGAACTTTAAAAAGAAACCAAACAGAAATTCTGGAATTGAAAAGTACAACAACTGAAATAAACAATTCAAGATAGGGTTTCAACAGCAGATCTTATCAAGTGGAAGAATTAGTGAACATAAAGACAGATGAATTAACATACTCTAGTCTGAGGAGTAGATGAGACAAAGGGGAGTAGATGTGAGAATGGAGAAAAACGAACAAATCTTAGAAGACCTGTGGGACACTATAAAGCATACCAACACACTTAACTGGATTTCCAGATGGAGGGGAGACAGGGGGAGCAGAAAAAATAATTGAAGAAATAATGGCCAAAACTTCCCAAATTGAGAAAACACATCAATCTACACAGTCAAGCCACTCAGTGAACCCCAAGTACAATAAACTCAGAGAGTCACACAAAAACACAGTGTAATCAAATTCTCAAAAGTCAAAACAAAATCTAGAAAGCAACTGCACAGAAGACTAACAGCGGATTTCTCATCAGAAACCATGGAGGCCAGAGGCATTGGGATGACATATTTCACGTCCTGGCTTGGGGTACAGGGGCGGGGGAAACCCACAACCAAAAAGACATCAGCATCTGACAAAATTATCCTTAAAAAATGAAAGAGGGGACAGGTGTGGTGACTCATGCCTGAAATCCCAGCACTTTGGGAGGCGGAGGCAGGTGGATCACGAGGTCAGGAGATCAAGGTCATCCTGGCTAAAACTAATATAGTGAAACCCTGTCTCTACTAAAGATACAAAAAATTAGCCGGGCGTGGTGGTGGGAGCCTGTAGTCCCAGCTACTCCAGAGGCTGAGGCAGGAGAATGGTGGGAACCCAGGAGGCAGAGCTTGCAGTGAGCGGAGATCTCGCCACTGCACTCCAGCCTGGGCAACAGAGCGAGACTCCATGTCAAAAAAAAAAAAAAAAAGAAAGAAAGAGAAAGTAGTTCATTTCAAGGTAAATAAAACCTGAAAGAGCTCATTGCCAATAGACTTGCCTTACAAGAAATGCTAATTCAGGCTGAAATACAAGGGCACTAGACAGTAACCTGGAGCCATATGAAGGAAAGGTAGCCATGTTGGTGGTTTGTGTGTTTATAAGAATTTTTCCATTACATATTGGTTATCTAATTTGTTGGTGTACAAATTTTCATAGTATTCCTTATAATCCTTTTTATTAATGTAAGGTCAGTAGTGATATTCCCATTTATGATTTTAATTATTTGAATCTGTCATCTTTTAATCTAGATAAAGATTTGTCTAGATAAAGATCTAGACAGATAAAGATTTGTCAAATCTGTTACTCTTCTCAAAGAACCAACTTTGGGATTTGCTGATTCTACTGATTTTTTACTTTCTATTCCATTTTTCTGTGTTCTAGTCTTTATTTTCTACCTTCTGCTAAATTTGGATTCAGTTTGCTCTTCTTTTTCTGGTTCCTTAAGGTATCAAGTTAGATTAATGATTTGAGATCTTTCTATTTTTTAAAAATGTAAGCATTCAGTTATCAATTTCCCTCTATATACTGCTTTCACTGCATTTGCTGTGTTTTCTTTTTTATTCATCTCAAAGTATTTTCTACCTTCTCTTTGAGTTTTTCCTTTGACTCATTGGTTGTTTGACAGTGTGTAATTTAATATACAAATATTTGTGAATTCCAGTTTTTCTTCTGTTATTTTCTAGTTTCTTTCCATTATAATCAGAGAAAATAGTTTGTATGAGTTTGATCATTTTAAATTATTAAGACTAGTTCTGTGGCCTAAGGTACAGTCTAACTTGGCAACTGCTCCATGTGAACTTGAGAAATGTGTGTTGTCTGCTGTTGCTGGGTTGGGTGTTTCTGCATCTTTTCTTTCAGACAGTAAATATATTATTCCATTGTCCCCTACCTTCCAGCATTTCTACTGAGAAGTCATCTGTAAATGTTATTGTTGCTTATTTGAAGGTAATACGTCTTGTTTTCCTCTGGCTGTTTTTAAATTTTTCTCGGTCTTTGGATTTCAGCCCCAATGTGCCCAGGTGTAGTTTGCTTTGTACCCACTTGCTAAGGATTCTTGGTTTGGGAGGAGGTTCCTTTTTTCTTTTTGTTTTTTCTTCTCTTTTCTTTCTTTTTTTTTTTTTTTTTTTCTTTTTCAATAGATCTCCTTCTGTTGCCCAGGTTAGAGTGCAGTGGTGCAATCTTGGCTCACTGCAGCCTCTACCTCCCAGGCTCAAGTGATCCTCCTCCTTAGCCTCTTGAGTAGCTGGGACTACAGATGTACCTCCAAGCTGGGCCAATTTTTTGTATTTTTTGTAGAGATTTTTTTTTTTTTTTGAGACAGGGTCTTGCTCTGTCGCCCAGGCTGGAGTGCAGTGGTGCAATCTCGGCTCACTGCACGCTCTGCCTCCCACATTCACACCATTCTCCTCAGCCTTCCGAGTTGCTGGGACTACAGGCACCTGCCACCATGCCAGGCTTTTTTTTTTTTTTTTTTTTTTTTGTATTTTTAGTAGAGATGGTGTTTCACCATGTTAGCCAGGATGGTCTCGATCTTCTGACCTTGTGATCTGCCTGCCTCTGCCTCCCAAAGTGCTAGGATTACAGGTGTAAGCCACCACACCCGGCCAAGATTGGGTTTTGCTATGTTGTCCTGGCTGGTCTTCAACTCCTGAGCTCAAGCAATTTGCCCACCTTGCCCTCCCAAAGTGCTGGTATTACAGGTGTGAGCCATCACACCTGGCCTAAAGATTCTTAAATGTTTTTTGCATCTACACATTTCATCAGGTTAAAGTTCTTGTCTATTATATCTTCAAATATTTTACTACCCCTATTTTACTCCTCTCCTTGTAGGATTTCAATCATTTTTCCCATAGATTTTCACAAAATATAGGCATATTTATTGCTCCACTTTCTTTATTTCCCTCTTTCCTTTCCCATCTCTGAATTCAGGCTTGAAATTTCCTCATCTCCCTTCCTTTACTAATCTTCTCTTTGGTTTTGTCTATAGGTTGTAAAGCTAAGCTACTTAGTTCTTAATTTGAGCTATTGTGTTCTTCGTTTCCAGAATTTCTGTTTGATTCCATTTAATAAATTCAGTTTGACAATGAAATTTTCCATTTGTTCTCCTTTTTCTTGAGCAAAGTTGATCAGCATTACTTTAAATTCCAGTTTCACAATTCTAATATGTAGATCTCCTGCACATCTGTTTCTCTTATTTGTATTTTCCTCTTGGTCTTTTGGTCAGTTGGTCTTGTCTTCTAGTATCCCTAGTAATTTTTTGACTGAATAAAGGACTTTATGAAAATTTATAAGATTATTTGAGCTTCTGTTGATGCTGCTGTCTCCAGAAGAGATCACTTTTGTTTTTGGGAGGCAGTTAGGCTACAGGCAGATCATATGAGTTCAATACAAGCTGATTTAAAGATAGACTTCATTCTTCTTTCTGGTTTTTCTTTCCTCCTAGGGGTAGCCCTTCACTTATATTCAGCATTTCCAACTGAAAGCCTAGGGTTTTTTTTTTGTTTTTTTTTTTTTTTTACTAGACTCCTTCCACCTTGTCAGGTCCTGAACTCTGTGTTTTCTTCTAATTCCGTGAGACTACTAAAAGCTCTGCTCAGCTGATCAGCCTCTCGGCCTTTTGGCTGCGGTCTGTGAATTGGTAAATGCCTCAATAAGAAAATCCACAAGGAATATTGGAGTCACTTCTGTGCACTTTCTCTCTAACGGGGATTCACTCAAGTCTCAGCTGTCTTGATACCTCCCGGCCCTTACGAACAGAGATTTTGTTTGTAAACCAGATTTCCTCATTTTTCTCAGCTAGATGCCAGTCTGATGTAAGCCAGTTCCCCACACAGGAAAGAACTTGACAGAACATTTTATACAGCATAAGAAAAAGGTGGCACAATGGAATCGTTTTCAGAGCTCAGAATTACTCTTTAATAATTTCTCTAAAAAAGTATAACTTGAGCCCATTTTTATAAAGGCTCTTCCTTGGGCCAGGCACTATTTTAGGCCTTTGAGGATTGAGTGGTGAACAAGACAAACACACTTCCTGCCCACATGCAGCTTACGTTTGAGGAACGGAAGCTGAGGAGAGCAAGGACAATGAGCAGGAACGGGGAAGACACGTGGTGCAGAAACACTGATGATGGCCAGGCACAGGGCTCACGCCTGCAACCCCAGCACTTTGGCCAAGGCAGGAGGATCACTTGAGACCCCACCTGTACCAAAAAAAATGCATAAATAAGAAATATTGATCATGGGACTTGAGTTATCTATGATTGAAGCACATCATAAAGCTATGATCTTTAAGAGCAGAACCAAATCCATGGGCCAGTCCAAAACGTTTCTTTCCCGTCCGAAACCCAGTCCTATCCCCAGCGTTCCCACACGCACGTCTGAGGGGGCCTCGGGGAAGGCCGTGGGGAGGGGCATGGCCTCTCCTTCCTTGCTCCTCTTATCCCTGTTTTGGGCTCTAGCTCCTCCAGTGATGGGGACGGGGGAAGGAATGTGCAGGGCCACCACTGCGGGGCTCACTGGCCCCTGGTGCACCTTCTCTCCAGCTGCCCCAGTGATCCTGTGCTTCTACCGGCTGCTTCTGCCTCTTCAGTGAGGACCTGCTTTAGGGAGGAGACGCCCCCATAATCATGAGTGGGACAGCTCTTGCCTTGGCATGCCACACTTTGCATAAGGGTGAAGGGCCACCCCTGCCTTTACAGCCCCCTTCTTACAACATGGGCAGCACTGGAGGGGTGCAGACCAGGCCCACCTCCACTCTTGCCCCCAGGGATCCACATGGGACAGGCTACAGCCCAGACATGACAGGAGATTTATGAGCTGGGCCACATCACAGGCAAACAAACATCCCTAGTCACGACACACGCCGCCTCTCAGCAACCAGGAAGGAGAGGCTGTGGGCCCTGGAACAACAAGGCCAGGAGGGGTATAAAAGCCGGAGAGCCCCACAAAGCTCACACACTCACACACTCACTCACTCCCACACTCACTCCCTCACACCTCCCCCAGCTCACCTCCCCAACCCCAGCATGGCCGCATCTACCATGTCCGTCTGCTCCAGCACTTACTCTGACACCTGGCAGGTGGACGACTGCCCAGAGAGCTCCTGTGAGCCCCCCTGCTGTGCCCCCAGCTGCTGTGCCCCGGCCCCATGCCTGACCTTGGTCTGCACCCCAGTGAGCTGTGTGTCCAGCCCCTGCTGCCAGGCGGCCTGTGAGCCCAGCCCCTGCCAATCAGGCTGCACCAGCTCCTGCACACCCTCATGCTGCCAGCAGTCTAGCTGCCAGCCGGCTTGCTGCACCTCCTCCCTGTGCCAGCAGGCATGCTGTGTGCCCGTCTGCTGCAAGCCTGTGTGCTGCAAGCCTGTGTGCTATGTGCCCATCTGCTCTGAGTCTTCCTCTTCATGCTGCCAACAGTCTAGCTGCCAGCCAGCTTGCTGCACCTCTTTGCCCTGCCAGCAGGCCTGCTGTGTGCCTGTCTGCTGCAAGCCCGTCTGCTGTGTGCCTGTCTGCTCTGGGGCTTCCTCTCCATGCTGCCAGCAGTCTAGCTGCCAGCCGGCTTGCTGCACTACCTCCTGCTGCAGACCCTCCTCCTCTGTGTCCCTCCTCTGCCGCCCCATTTGCAGGTCCACCTGCTGCATGCCCGTCTCCTCCTGCTGTACCCCCGCCTCCTCCTGCCAGCCCAGCTGCTGCCGCCCGGCCTCCTGCGTGTCCCTCTTCTGCCGCCCCACGTGCTCCCGCCCAGCCTGCTGAGCCCTCTGCTCAGGCCAGGAGTCTAGCTGCTGATGTGCACACCCCCCTGGGCCAGCTGGGTTCAATTCCTGACCTGGTTTAGGTGGTTGCCCCCACCTAGGATGGGTCCCTGTGTCTCCCCTGTGCTGAGGTGACCTCCCCCTCCTTGCTCCCAGGAGCCCCCATTCTCGCAGCTCCCCACCTCTTGCCTCCCAGCAGGTGCCCCGCTGCCTGCTGGGTCCCGTCCTCCCTCCCAGCTTTTCTGCCGTGGGTCACTTGGCCGCGACTTGAACCTGTCAGCACCTCCTCCTGCTCCCGAATAAACTCTCCTTGGTCACCTGATTCTCTTTTCCTGTTGTGCTCCTGGGGAGACACACAGTTTTGAGCTGACATTGGTCTCCTCCAGCCATGACTGTTTCTAGGAGTGAGTGACTTAACCTAGAAGTCACAGGGGACAGTGGCCTAACTCCTTCAGGGAGGTCACCAGGTGGGACTCCCAGCCACTCCCAGGAAGGCTCAGTCCTGGCTCAGCCTCCATGCCCGGGTCTTCCTGAGCCTGGTGATTCACTGCGGTGCCCTGGGCTGTGGGGCTCTCCAGGTCCCAGGACCATCCCACTGTCCCACCTGGGAGAGCTCACCCTGCAGGGTCACCTGCCGGGAAGCTGGTCTGGCATCCGGGCACTGCAGCCTCCAGGTCTGGTCACTCTCTCTGTGCCACCCCCCAAGGGTTCTGCCCATTTAGCAGCAATGCGAGGGAAGAGTGAGGGGCTGCTGCACCTGCACAGGAAACAAGGGACTCGATGGGGACAAAAGCATCATGGGGTGGGTGGATGGATGCACAGGATTCCCCGAAACCTGGGCACCTCCCAGGTTCTTCTCTGGGGGCAGCCGGTTCCATGGAGGTGTAGGGATGAGGAGCCTGGGTCCCACAGATGACGCCGGTGTGGGCACACAGTCAGCGACACTCCCATCTCTCTAAGGCTTGGTCCACGCAGGGGGCATGAGCTGCCTGTGGTGTCCTGTGGGAAAGGCCGTCAGTGGGGACAGTGGTAAGATCAGGCAGCACATGGGGCTCTGAGCAGAGCAGTCTGTCCTCAGACTGAGACAGGCTCCTCCAGGCCAGCTGCAGAGACCAAAACCCTGAAGAGAATGCCCGCCCGGGATGCTGCAGTCGCCCCGCAGCCAGGCCGGCCACAGCCTGATGGATGTGGTGCTGCCGTGGCTGTGGTCACAGCAGGTGCAGAAACGCCACAGAAAGTGAGGTGGAACCCGGGCAGGGGGCTGAGGAGGGGCGTGTGATTGCTGCCCAGTGCCCTCAGTGACTGGCGGACCCTGCGTGACCCTGGCTCGGCCTGCTCTGCTCGCAGCTCCCTGCCCTCTGCACTGATGGCTACTGGGAACCCACTATGGCCTAAGTGCACGGCCGCCCACACTGTTTCCTGTTCACATTCTTAGCCCATTTCCTATCATGCTGTGTGTTTGTCTTATGGATTTAGGGCTAAGGGATCCTCTGTCCATCACATGCACTCCAAATATTTCCAAACCCGTCATTGCTTCTGTGTGGCACACTCCCTGAGACTGGAAACAGGCCTACATTTGCTGATACTGGTTTCATTCTTATTGCCTAGATTCAACTTTTTGCCCCATTTGCTGATAGGACTTGTGTGAGGTATGACGTATTAATCTTTCTCTTCCACCAATAGCCAACTGTCCTTTTTTAAAGTTAGTTTGTTCTCTCCAACTCCCATTTGAAACATCTCTTTCACCTGATAAAAATGTTTGTATAGTCTGCTTCTGAAATCTATATTTTGTATTTTGTTCTGTGAATCTCTTGATCTATCCTTGCGTCCATACCAGATGTTTTATCCATGTTATTCAGCTTTGCAATATATCCGAACAGCTCATAAGGAAAGTGCCACTATCTTATTTTCTAAAAACGTTGATTCTAGCTTGTTCTCGATTAATTTTAGAAAGCTTTTCAAGTATTTTTTAAACTGTTATAATTTTTATTGGGATTGCATTGAGCTTTTAAATATGTAGGAGGAAACTATAATTGTTCATATTGTCTTGCCTTGCAGTTACATAGTACAATAGGCCCATTTAGAATTCTATCATTTTCTTCTATAGGTCTAAAATATTCCTCTTTGGGTTAATTCCTAGGTATTTCATAGGGATGTTTTACTAGTGTGAATGGGGAACAGTTTTCTATTATGTTGTCTTAGTATATAAATATTACATATATATCTATATAAACTATTCATATATATATTATCTTCATATCAAACCATATGTTTAGCTCCTTTCCTTTGCAAGTTCTCTTATTAGTTCTTAGAGTTTGTCATTGATTTTCTTGGATTTTTCTGTGTAGATGAGCTTATCATTTGAAAATAAGGAGAATTTAACTTCTCATTTCCAATCTTTAAAACTCCCATTTCTATTGTTTTTCCTGTAGCAACATTACTTTGAACACCCAGGATGATGCTGAATAAAATTAAAAGAATCCTTGATTGTTCCTGACTTTCATGAGAAAGTGTCAAAGGTTCGCCACTGCACACGGTGTTTGCTGTGGGGTTCAAGTAGAAACCTTTTATTTTTAAACCAAGTCTTTCTATTTCCTTTTTGCTATGAATTTTCATTTACTAGAATCAAGAAGGAATGTTCGGAGGGGGAGAAGTGGATTCTAGAGACATGGTGCTCCCTGAGGCATAGTTTCTAAATCTCCCTAAATCCCAAATAGAAACAGAATTATCAGATAGAAAAAGAAAAACCCATGGGTTCCATTTAGGACAGAACTTAATGGCAAGATATCACCCAAGGGCCCAAAATGCGAGTGGGTAGGAACCAGGCCCAGAAGCCAGTGTTGCTGAGGTCTGTGCAGGAGGACGCCCAGGGGAGCACTGACAGGAGCAGCAGCCTGAGGATGGGAGAAGCCCAGCACTGCCTGGAAAGGGGGCCAGAGTGCGAGCAGCCCCTGCAGCTGGGCAGGTCCCTCCTCTCCATCAGCCACGGAGCACCAGTGGCCGCAGGGAGAAGCCTGACAGGGCTGGACTCGGCCACTGTGAACTCTTGAGCCTGAGTCACCAGGGCCTCCTTCCATGGAAGGGTCCCTCTGTCTCCCAACCTGAGGGTAAGGAGCTTGGAGTGGAAACAAAGTTGGGCAGAACAGAAAGTCCACTTCCAGTGGAAAAAGACCTAATAGCCCCATAGGTAGTTTTTTTGGTTTTGCTTTTGTTTTGTTTTGATAAACATAGAAACTGATCCTTCTGGTCTTAAAGCTCAAAACTTTGCTTTATCTGTAATCCCAGCACTTTGGGAGGCCGAAGCAGGCAGATCACCTGAGGTCAGGAGTTTGAGACCAGCCTGGCTAACATGGTGAAACCCTGTCTCTACTAAAAATACAAAATTAGCTGGGTGTGGTGGCGCATGCCTGTAATCCCAGCTACTTGTGAGGCTGAGGCAGGAAAACTGCTTGAACCTGGGAAGCGGAGGTTCCAGTGAGCAGGGATCCTGCCACTGCACTCCAGCCTGGGCAACAGAGTGAGACTCTGTCTCAAAAAGACAAAAAACAAAAATAAAAACAAACAAAACCTTTGCTTTATCTGGGCAAGGAAGCAATGATGATGAACAAGGGGTCCCATGCCTCACTGTCAGGATGTGGTGATCTGGTGATTGATTGATTGATTGAATGAGCAAAAAAGCTCATTGATACTTTTTTGAGAGGCCTTTGTTTTACACATCGTTACATTTCTTCCCTGCTACATAAATCCCTGGTTTTAGTCAGGAAGATTGATTCGAGACTGAACTCACATCTCCTCCGATGCAGCACCCGACGAAAGCCTTCTTCCTGGGCAACTTGTCTCAGTGACTGGCTTTTTGTGTGTGAACAGCAGGACCCAGACTGAACCCCGGGTGTTTCAGTAACACACCAGGATGGAGTAAGAAGGACTAGATGGACTTTCCCACCCAGGCCAGCTGAAACAATTATCAAAATCATGCAACAGTGGTTGGGGATGTTGGACTTGAGGCAGCACAGCACAGGCACCCCTGAGAGCAGGAGGCAAACACAGAAGTCTCACGACCATCCCTCCCAACATCCTGCTTAGAGAGTTTCCAGGAGACAGTGCAGACAGGGGAACCTGGGTTTCAGAGATGGATCTGGGAGGCAAGGAAGACCAAGGCAGTTCATGTTCCTAGGACAGAGTGCCAGTGGGGAAAGGGCTGCACCAAGAGAGCTGCCAGCTTCCACAGAGGTTCCCTCAAATCTTCAGCTTAGTAATGACCAGCAAATGTGTGTGAGACTGAGACTGGGGAGAACTGATAAAACTAGGTGCCATAACCCTCAGAGACCAAACAGAGCCAGAAATAGTGCCGACTCCCACCTGCTGGGGTGGAAAAGCCTCGTAGTTTTCAAGGCACTGGGTAGATAACTCAGAAGTGGGAGCATAACTAGCCCTAGAGTAACCACTGGTCCAGTCCTGCCTAACCCAGCTTATAGGCAAGCTGCAAGATAATGAGCTTTCCAGTAACTTAACTGCACCCTAGAACACAGCTCAAGAGCATTCGTAGGAATCAAAATATCCAGCACCCAATAACATAAAATTCACAATGCTGGGCATCCATTCAAAAACTACCAGGCATGCAAAGAGGCAGGAAAATGTGGCACCTATTAAGGATCAGATCAGGTGAAACCAACTCAGAAATGTCACAGATCATAGAGTTAGTAAGCAAGGATGTTAAAGAGTCATAACTATATTCCATACATTCAAGAAGTTAGAGAAAAGGTAGGCATATTAAGGAAAGACGAGGAAGATCTTTTTAAAGAAGACACAAATAGAACGTTCATCTAGAAAGGAAAACAATACCTGAGGTGACAATTACGCTGGATGAGATTAACAGCAGAATAAACACTGCAGAAGAAAAATCAAGTGAATATGAAGATATAGCAATAGAAACGATCTAAAAGGAAACACAGAGACAAAAAAACAAAGCACTAGTGAGATGTAGGAAACATCCAGTAACCTCACATACATGTAACTGGGGTTCTCACGAAGAGAGAGGAGGAGGCATGGAAAAGAGACTGTCAGATTAGATAAAAAGGCAAATTCTCAACTATGCTTCTTGCAAGAAGTATACTTTACATAAAATGACACAAAGAGGTTAAAGTTTTTAAATGAAAAAAGGACTAAATTAATCCTGAAGCAGGCATAAAGTATGAAACAGTAAAGATAAAAGCAGAAATTGATTAAGTGAAAAATAATAAAACAATGTGATAATCAATGAAACCAAAGCTTGCTCTTTGAAAAGATAAATTTAATAAACATCTAGTTAAACTTACTGGGAAAAGATAACAAAGATACAAATTATCAATATCAGAAAGGGAAGAAGAGGCATTACCACATATCCCACAAGCATTAAAAGAATAAAAAGGGGCCAGAGCAGTGGATCACACCTGTAATCCCAGCATTTTGAGAGGCTGAATTGGGAGGATTGCTTGAGGTCAGGAGTTCAAGACCAGCCTGGGCAATATAGCGAGACTCCATCCATATAAAAACTTTAAAATTACCTGGGCAGGTGGCATGTTCATATCGTCCCAGCTACTCGGGAGGCTGAGGTAGGGGGATCACTTGAGCCCAGGAGTTCAAGGCTGCCAAAAACTGTACACAATGTTTACAGAAGCTTTGTCCATAATCATCAAAACAGGAGACAAAACATCCTTCAGTCATTGAATGGGTAAACGACCTGTGGTAGATTCATACAATGGAATACTACTGAGCAATTAAAAGCAATAAACTATTGACATACAGCACAACTTGAATGAATCCCAAGCGCATTTTGCTAAGTGAAACAAGTGAGACTTGCCAGGTGGCATATTGCATGATTCCATTCATTATTCTACGCACTGAATGTCCAAGTTACATGGCATTCTAGAAGAGACAGTGAGTCAACACAAGAGGATTTTTGAGGATGCTGGAATTCCTCTTTCTGGCACTGTGGTGGTAGATATAGGACTTGAAATACTTGTCAAAATTCATGGAACTATGCACCACAAAGGGTGAATTAAATGAAGAAGGAGAAAGGGAGAGAGGTCAGGAGGATGATGATGATGAGGAGGACAAGGAGGAAGAGGAGGACAAGGAGGAGGAGGAGGAGGACAAGGAGGAGGAGGACGAGGAGGAGGAGCAAGAGGAGGAGGAGGAGGAGAATGAGGAGGAGAAGGATGAGGAGGAGGAGGATGAGGATGAGGAGGAGGAGGATTAATCATTGCTACTTGGTTCTATAAGGTTAAGGGAAGCAGGTGTACTTCTTCTCCGTAAAGAAGGTAAGAACCTAATTTTTGCTGATTTTTTTTTTTTTTTTTTTTTTTTGCTCCTTATTCTTTTATGTATCATACTTCTCTTTGAAGTTGCTTTTTGTTTTGTGGGACTATATGCTCTGAAGATATTTTCTTTTTTTTTTTTTTTTTTTTGAGACGGAGTCTTGCTCTGTCGCCCAGGCTGGAGTCCAGTGGCCGGATCTCAGCTCACTGCAAGCTCCGCCTCCCGGGTTTACGCCATTCTCCTGCCTCAGCCTCCCGAGTAGCTGGGACTACAGGCGCCCGCCATCTCGCCCGGCTAGTTTTTTTGTATTTTTTAGTAGAGACGGGGTTTCACCGTGTTAGCCAGGATGGTCTCGATCTCCTGACCTCGTGATCCGCCCGTCTCGGCCTCCCAAAGTGCTGGGATTACAGGCTTGAGCCACCGCGCCCGGTCTGAAGATATTTTCATAGTTGCATTGTGTGAAACACTCTGATTTCCATTAGACCAGATGATTTAGTAGAGTTCAATATTCCTAGTAACTTTCCCACAGACTGAAGACTTGGTTAGATTGTCTTTGGACATGCAGATTTTCTAAGCTGCAGTAGGATGCCAGTCTCTCTGGAGGTTGTTAGGGTTTTTCTTGATATTTTGTGTCAGAAGTGTCACCAGCCTGTCCAGATGTGCAGCATTCTCCATTCAGTTTGTCCCATATTTGGTAAAATTTCACATCTGAAGACCCTTGGTTTCATTCCATCCTGGAAAGTTTTCTCCGATTTCGATTTTTCCCTTTTGCTGCTCTCTTTCTGGAAAATCCTATTTGATGAACATTGGATATTCTGGAAGAATCATGTTTCTCTTAAGTTTTCTCCTATATATGCCATCTGTGTCATTCCGCATTGTGTGTGAGACACTTCTTTCTCTCTTCCTGTTAACTCCTTCTCACCGCAGTGGCTCCAGCCTGCTGTTCAGCCCTTCTCTGCGTGCAGGGCGTCTTCAGCTCATGAGCAGCGTTCATCAGAGGGGCCCTCACTCTGTCCTGACTTTCGGCGCCCTGTTGCCCAGGCACAGAGTCTGGGAAGTCAGGTCCCCTGCAACACGACAGAGTGCACAGCTCAAAAGACAGGCTGCATGCTGAGGATACATGTTCTGTGAAATGTCTGCTTAGAGGACCAGGCACAGAACAGGGCATCAACCCAGCCCTCAACCCTAATCCGGGATTTTACAGGCTGGGCAAATACTGTTGTGTAAATAAACTAGAATGAATGAGGACTCCAAGGACCCAGCTCAAAACACCAACAAGGAAAGGGAAGACTCGTGGAGCCTCCAGCTAGAACAACACACCCCCTAGCCAGATATAAAAGCCCAGCTGCCCACAGCACCTCAGGCACTCACTCACACACACACACTCACTCACTCACACACACACACTCACTCACACCCCCAGCTCAACCCCCAGTATGGCCGCATCCACCATGTCCGTCTGCTCCAGTGATCTGAGCTATAGCAGCCGGGTCTGCCTGCCCAGATCCGGTGACTCTTGCACTGATTCCTCCTGGCAGGTGGACGACTGCCCAGAGAGTTGCTGTGAGCCCCCCTGCTGCGCCCCCAGCTGCTGCGCCCCAGCCCCCTGCCTGACCCTGGTCTGCACCCCAGTGAGCTGTGTGTCCAGCCCCTGCTGCCAGGTGGTCTGTGAGCCCAGCCCCTGCCAATCAGGCTGCACCAGCTCCTGCATGTCCTCGTGCTGCCAGCAGTCTAGCTGCCAGCCGGCTTGCTGCACCTCCTCCCCCTGCCAGCAGGCCTGCTGTGTGCCCGTCTGGGCTTGCTGCACTCTCTCCCCCAGCAGGCTCGCTGTGCTCCGTCTGCTGCAAGCCTGTGTGCTGTGTGCCCACCTGCCTGGGATTCTCTTCGCTGCCAGCAATCTAGCTGCCAGCCAACCTGCTGTTCCTCCTGCCAGCAGGCCTGCTGTGCCTGTCTGCTGCAAGCTCGTGCTGTGGTGCCCACCTGCCTTGCTCTGGGGATTCCTCTTCATGCTGCCAGCAATCTAGCTGCCAGCCGGCTTGCTGCACCTCCTCCCCCTGCCAGCAGGCCTGCTGTGTGCCTGTCTGCTGCAAGCCCGTCTGCTGCAAGTCCCTCTGCTGTGTGCCTGTGTGCTCTGGGGCTTCCTCACTCTGCTGCCAGCAGTCTAGCTGCCAGCCGGCTTGCTGCACCTCCTCCTGTTGCAGACCCTCCTCCTCTGTGTCCCTCTTCTGCCGCCCCGTGTGCAGGTCCACCTGCTGCGTGCCCGTCCCCTCCTACTGTGCCCCCACCTCCTCCTGCCAGCCCAGCTGCTGCCGCCTGGCCTCCTGCATGTCCCTCCTCTGCCGCCCCACGTGCTCCTGCCCGACATGCTGAGGCCTCTTCCCAGGCCAGGAGTCCAGCTGCTGATAGGCATGTCCCCCAGGGCCAGCCGGGTTCAGGTCCTGACCTGGGTTAAGTGGCTGCCCCCACCTGGGATGGGGTCCCCGTGTCTCCCCTGTGCTGAGGTGACCTCCCCCTCCTTGCTCCCAGGAGTCCCATCCTTGCTGCTCCCCAGCTCCTGCCTCCCAGCATGTGCCCATATGCCTGCTGGGTCCCCTGTCCTCCCTGCCAGCTTCTCTGCACTAGGTCACTTGGCCTCAACTTGAGCCTCTCAGCACCTCCTCCTGCTCCCCAATAAACTCTCCTTGGTCACCATCCTCTTTTCCTGTTGTGCTCCTGGGGGGACACATGGTGTGAGCTGACATTGGCCTCCTCCAGCCATGACTGTTTTTAGGAGTGAGGGCAGTGGCCTACCTCCTCTGGACGGGTTACCAAGTGGGACTCCGGCCACACCCAGGAAGGCTCAGTCCTGCTCAGCCCCCTTATGCCCTGGGTGTGAGCAGGGCTGGGGTGGAGACTCCCTGGCTGTGGGCTCAGCTCTCCCTTCCCAGCCAGCTCCCTGCCCCACCTCAGGGCTCCCTAATGTTCCCACCATCACTGGAAGGATTTTGTCTTTCCTTTGTCACTTACTGGCATCCACACATCACAGCCACGCTCTGAAAGCCTCCAGCTGGGGGTGTTCCCTCTCATGGGGCGGGGGGTGAGTTCAGGTGGCCGCCTCCCACCATAGCATCAAAGGGGCTGGGTTGTCCTCTCCACTCCCTGGACAGCCAGGGGTATGAGACCCAAACTAGGACAAGTGGGTTTTGCTGCATTGAACATTAAATTAAATCTGCAGACTGTGGCCAGGCACAGTGGTTCACGCCTGTAATCCCAGCACTTTGGGAGGCCGAGGTGGGCGGATCACAAGGCCAGGAGTTCGAGACCAGCCTGACCAACATGGTGAAACCCTGTCTCTACTAAAAAGTACAAAAATTAGCCAGGCATGGTGGTGCACACCTGTAATCCCAGCTACTCAGGAGGATGAGGCAGGAGAATCGCTTGAACCCGGGAGGCGGAGCTTGCAGTGAGCTGAGATTGCGCCACTGCACTCCAGCCTGGGTGACACAGCAAGACTCTGTCTCAAAAAAAAAAAAAAAAAAAAAAAAAAGCAGACCATAGGGGGTGATAAGCTTCTTTAGAAAAGTGGCTGCCTAGAATATGGCTTCCAATTTTACATGGGCAAAGACTTGCTAAACATATATATGCAGTCATGTGTTGCTTAATGACGGGATTACGTTTTGAGGAATGCATTTTTTAGGCGATTTTGTCATCGTGTGAACATCACCGAGTGTATTTACATGAACCTAGACGGTGCAGCCCACTACACACCTAGGCTGTAGGGTGCACACATGTGGTGCACACACTGCACACCAAGGTTCTACGGCTCCTAGCTGCAAACCTTACTGCACGCTACAGCGTGAATACTGCAGGCAGTCGCAGTGTACAAACAGTGTATTTGTGTTTCTAAACACAGACAAGATACAGTAAGAAGTCAGTGTTATAATCTTACAGGACCACCATCCCCTGTGCTCTGCACGGTCGGCTGAAACATGGTCTGGCCGCACATGACTGTATCCTCTCTGTTTTCACACCTGCTTTACCTTTCAGGCTTAATCACTTTCAATTCTTTAATTGTGTTAGGCTAGGAGTTAATGGAATCTAAATTGCAAATAAGTATAATGAAGTACTTCGTTTCACATAACCCAAATTGGAAAGGAAGCCAAAAAGCTCTGAGGTCTTGGTGGACACTGCATTTGTATTCGTTCTTGTTTTTCAATTGTGGTAAAATACACAGAACATAAAATTTACCATCGAAACTATTTTTAGGGGTACAGTCAGTGGCATTCAGGATATTCATGTTGTTGTGCAGCCATCGCCACCGTTCATCTCCAGAACTTCTTTGTCTCCCAACACTGAAACTCCACACCCATTAAACACTCACTCCTCATCACCCCCCAGCCCCGGCACCCACCATTCTACCTTTTGTCTCCGTGAATCTGACCAGTCTAGTGACCTCATATAAGCAGAACATCCCCAGGGTTCATCCATGTCGTAGTGTGTGTCAGCATTTCCTTCCCTCTTTGTGGCTGACTGATATTCCACTGTGTGGATGGACCTCACTGTGTTTACCCATGCATCTGTTCATGGACACTTGTGTTGCTTCTACCTTTTGGCAACTGTGAGTAAAGCTGCTATGAACATGGGTGTACAAGCATCTCTTTCAATTCTTTTGAGAATGGACCCAGAAGTGGAATTGCTGAATCATTTGGTCATTCTGTTTATAACTGTTTGAGCCACTGTTTTCCACAGTGGCTGTACAATTTTAGTTTCCCACCAACAGTGCACAATAGTTCCCGTTTCTCCACATTGTCGCCAGCATAACACATTCTGTTCTTTGGGCATTAGCCATCCTAGTGTGTGGGGGTGCCTTTGGTTCTACCATGGACCCGTGCTGCTAAGCCAGTCCCTACTCCCTGGTGCCAGCCTTGCCACTGGCCCAGCAGCCCCACCCCTCACACATCAGTCCTGTCACACACCAGTCCCGCCCCCTCACACCAGCCCCACCCCTCACACACTAGTCCTGCCCCCTCACACCAGCCCCACCCCTCATACACCAGTCCCGCCCCCTCACACCAGCCCCACCCCCTCACACCAGCTCCACCCATCCCACACAAGCTCCACCCCCTCACACCAGCCCCACCCCCCCACACCCCCCCCCCCCCCCACACACACCCCCCCCCCCCACACCAGCCCCACCCCTCACACCAGTCCCGCCCCCTCACACCAGCCCCACCCCCTCACACCATCTCCACCCTCTCACACACCAGCCACGCCCCTCACACACACCCAACCCCCTCACACCTACCCCACCACCTCACAACAGCCCTGCCCCTCACACGCGCACCCTTTCACACCCACCCCCCCCCCACCAGCTCCATCCCCTCATACACCAGCCCCACCCCCTCACACCATATCAGCTACACCCCCTCACACACCCACCCCTTCACACCAGCCCCACCCCCTCACACTAGCCCCACCCCCTCACACTAGCCACACCCCCTCACACCAGCCCCACCCCTCACACTAGCCCTACTCCTCACACCAGCCCCACCCCTCGCACCAGCCCTAGCCCTCCATCAACCCCATCCGTCCCTATTAGAGGGCCCCTATCTGCCCCGCCCTTCCCATCCACCGCACCTCCTCGCCTCGCCCCGCCCCTACAGTCAGCCCCTTTTCCTTTCACCACCTGTACTCATCACCTCTGCCCTTCCCATCTGCCCCGCCCCCGTGCCCGACCCCTACTCCCTTCCCATCCTGAGTCTGGCCCTCTCTCCGCAGAGGAACGAGTACCTGCTGACGGTGGTGGCGGAGGAGAGCGACCTGCTGCTGCTGGGCCTGAGGTTCTCGCCTGCCCAGCTGCACTTCCTGTTCCTTCGCGAGGACACGGCCGGCGCCTGGCAGACCCGAGTGTCCTTCCGCAGCCCAGCCCTGGTGGACAGTCGCTGGCACACGCTGGTCCTGGCTGTGTCTGCAGGCATCTTCTCCCTCACCATGGACTGCGGCCTCCCGGTGGACATGTAGGTACCCACCCGGGGAGGGTGCACCTGCGGCCCACAGAGTCCTGCCAGGCCAGGCGTCCTTCAGCCATGCTCACCGGGCAATGCCTGCAGGAGCCGACCAGGGCCAGGAGTCACGGGGCGGAGGGGCAGGAGCCATCCACGGGGCAGGAGCCGCCCACGGGGCAGGAGCCGTCCACGGGGCAGGAGCCATCGACGGGGCAGGAGCCGCCCAGGGAGCAGGAGCCTTTCATGAGGCAGGGGCTGACCATGGGAGGTCAGGTCACGCTCCCTGCCAACCTCTGAAGGGCTGCATGGGGCGAGGCAGGCTCACCATCTATGGGCAGAGTGGCCATTGGCGAGAGCAGGTGGTGAGTGATGCCCTGGATTCAGGCTGGAAGGCGAATCCAGGGAGAGTTTATGAAGCACACTGCTGTCAAAACCCAGATTTTAATGTTTCTCCATGTCTTAAACACAAAACCCGCTGCACATCAGACTCAGTGGCTTAGAACCAGGTAAGGACGATCACACTAAGCACACTCCTTTTCTACAAGTAGCTCAGGGGACTTGGCAGGGGACCAGCACTGTGGGGAGGGTGTTAACATCACAACAGGCAGCCGCAGGAAGTCGGAGTAATTCCTTCCCCAACCCCAGGCTGGAGACCCAGGCCTGGCTTTGACTCCACATGGCAGGTTCCTCGTGGACGAGGGAGCAAATATTGACAAAAACTCCAAATGAGTACAAGATTATCCTTTGAAGCCTTGGACACAATGGGGGCTTTTGGAAGCCGAGTTTGTTTCTCGTTTTTGATGTCACCTGGTTTCTGTGGCCTGACAGTAGGTCCCCTGGACAGGAGCCCTCAGTCCCCATAGCTCAGCCAGTTACCAATGTCAGGATCTACCACTGTGGAGTAGGACTGCGCTTCTGTCTTTTTAATTGCAAATGATCCAGTTTATATTAAATCTATTAAATAGTAAAGTATTATTTCAAATATTACTTTCTTTTTTTTTTTTTTTTTTTTTTTTTGAGATGGAGTCTTGCTCTGTCACCCAGGCTGAAGTGCAGTGGCCGGATCTCAGCTCACTGCAAGCTCCGCCTCCCGGGTTTACGCCATTCTCCTGCCTCAGCCTCCCGAGTAGCTGGGACTACAGGCGCCCGCCACCTCGCCTGGCTAGTTTTTTGGTTTTTTGTTTTTGTTTTTTTTTAGTAGAGACGGGGTTTCACTGGGTTAGCCAGGATGGTCTCGATCTCCTGACCTCATGATCCGCCCGTCTCGGCCTCCCAAAGTGCTGGGATTACAGGCTTGAGCCACTGCGCCCAGCCTTCAAATATTACTTTCAAAGGTAGGATCTTCTGTTTTGTTATGAAACTTGTAAGTATTTTTATTATGCAGTTAGTTTAAACACACTTTTATCATAGCCTGTCTCCCACCCTACCCCAAACTCATTCGGGCCCTCAGGAGGGTGATGAGTTCTCAGGTCCCGAGAGCTGAGAGTCTCCCAGGGAGGTGCTGTGCAGGCTGAAGGCAACCTGGCCCGGCAGCGGCTTCCCACCCCGTAAAGAAAGGCCTTCTGGCCGGACACCAACGCCGCCTGACTTCTGGCTTTGCCGCAGCAGCTAGGAATGATGTGGCGGCCGCGCCTGAGGCCTGCACACTCACTCACCTGCCTCCTCAGGAGAAAGGAAGAAGTTAAGGCGGAAAGCATAATGATTAGGAATGTTCCCCGAATGTTTTAAAAGTGGACTTCCTGGGGAGATGGTGGGACATGAGGAGTCACAGGCCTGGAGCCGATTGTGGCCACGGAAGAACTTAAGCCCTTGGTGGGCTGCCATGGAGGGTACAGGCCAGGGCTCCGGGGGCCAGAAGCCTGGACCCTAGCAGAGGCCAAGCTGTGTGCAGAGGTCGGGGCCTTCTGGGACAGCAAGGCAGGAGCTGAGCTCACCACGGCCAGCTGCAGCCAGATGGCAAAGACTGGAAGGAGCAGACGTTTTACAAGAGACAGTGGCAGCGTGGGCGGGGGAGGCAAGCCCGAAGGCACCCCTGCTCTTCTGCCTAGGAGCTCTAGCCACGCCGTCCCCCAGTGGCCACCCACCTTGCTCCATCTCCGGTGTTCAGCCTCCACTCACTCATCAAGACCGCCTGCTCCTGACACCCTCGTGGGTCACCAGCCTCCTCCTGCCCTGAAGCCATGTGTCCCAGCACTCCAGGCCAGTTGATGGTGCAGGAGCTCAGTGGAGGGAGGGTGAGTGGGCCGGAGGACCCTGTACAGGTTGAAGCCATGGCACATTCACCGTGAGATGGAGAAGAACCACTAAGCATGTCACCACACACTTCTGCAGAAGGCCCTGGCCCTGGGGTGAAGTGCCCCCCAGAATTCATGTCCACGCAGCACCCATGAATGTGACCTTACCTGGAAACAGGGTCTTTGCAGTCATCAGGTCAAGCTGAGGTCATCCTGGAGTGAGGCAGGCCCTGCTTCAGTGCGACTAGGATCCTTACCAGGAGACAGACAAGGGGAGAGGTGGACACTGGAGTGACATGGCCACAGGTCACGGGGAGCACCTGGAGCCACCAGAAGCTGATGAGTCGAGGAAGCGTCCTCCTCTGGAGCCTTTGGAGAAACCCTGCCCCAGCTTGATCCAGGCTACTGGCCTCCAGAGCTGTGCAGGCGATCGGCCCTGTGTGCCGTCCTTTGTGTGGCAGCCACGGCACGGATGCACGCTGCTTAGCAAGGGGCTTGTTCCTGCTCCTTCTGTGAGTAAACTGGTGCGACCACTCTCCTGTGGCCCTAACGCTGTCCTCTGATATTTTCAGAATGGCCGATGTGCCCTTCCCAGCCACCCTGTCGGTGAAAGGAGCCCGATTCTTCGTCGGCAGCCGGAGGAGAGCCAAAGGCCTGTTCACGGTGAGTATGGAGGGGCTGCCCTCCCAACACCCATGCCGCAGGATAGGACTGCCCCAGGCCTGCTGTCCTACTGCTCTAGTGAAACAGATCCTTGAATGTGCTAACTGGGGAAAGAAGGCACGGCGCGTGTGGAGTCTCTGCCACAGCGCCTTCGCACCGCTGTTTCCTCCTGGCACCCTCCTCCCTCATGGTCTTGGGTCCCTGCCCAACGGTCCTCTTCAGGCTGCCCCCACCACACTGAGCCAATGCCCACACTCTGCCCTGCAGCCCGTTCCCTGGAGCTGTCTTTCCTCAGTAGTGCTGACTGCTCTCAGGCCAGCTGTGTGTCTGCTCAGTGCCTGTGTCTCCACTCATGTGTGAGCGGGGACCTCACTCCATGAGGCTAGAGGTCTTTGTTCCCTGCTGAGTCCAGTGGCTAGAGCCATGCCTGGCACATAGCAGATGCTCTGAATATTTATTGATGCATGTTTGGACAGATGGATGAGTGGATGGACAGATGGAGGGATGGACAATGGATGGATGGATGGATGGATGGATGGGTGGAGAGATGAACAGATGGAGAGAAAGATGAATGAATGGGTGAATGGAGGGATGAATGAATGAGTGATGGATGAATGGGTTGGATGGATGGAAGATGAATGAATGAGTGATGGATGAATGGGTTGGATGGATGATGGATAAATGGATGGATAAGGATGAATGGGTGAGAGATGAAACAGATTGAAAGATAAATGCGATGGGTGGAACGGAGGGATGAATGAATGAGTGATGGATGAATGGGTTGGATGGATGGATGGATAAATGGATGGATGAATGGATGGGTGGATGGAGGAATGGACGGATGAGTGGTGGGTGAATGGGTGGATGGATGGATGGATGGACAGATGGATGGATGAATACATGAATGAACAGATGGGTGGATGGGCTGTTGGATGAGCAGAATAGCCAGTCACTCCACGTTCACACAAAAAACCCTTCTGTGGTTCAGTTTCCTCGGAAAGGGGGCAATTCTTCACCATTGCTCCCACGGCCTCCTCAGTAACCATCATGTAAACTCTTCCCACTTACCTCTGCAAAAGGTTAGATTCCATCCACCCCACCCTCCTCTGGGGTCTGGATGGGCCAAGCCCAGTGGTCCCCTCCTCAGTGGGTCCCTCCCCAGCAGCGTGGGCCTGAAGGAGCTGTCCCTCTCTCCGCAGGGCCTGGTGAGGCAGCTGGTCCTGCTACCCGGCTCAGACGCCACCCCAAGGCTGTGTCCCAGCAGGAATGCCCCGCTGGCGGTGCTGTCCATCCCACGGGTCCTGCAGGCTCTCATGGGGAAGCCAGAAGATAACGAGGTGCTAAAATATCCCTACGGTTAGTAGGGGGGCTGCCGGCCCCCGCACCAAAGGCAGACGCGAGAGCCCTGGTCTCACACCAGGCAGGAACTCAGGGCTTAGCTCCTAGCACCCCCCCGCCATGTGCTTGCCCCTCTCATCACTGCCACGGGGGGCAGCGGTCACAATGGCCAGGGAGATGCTTGGGGCCCACCCCCAGGAAGGTAGGCGGCACCATCAGACAGTCCAGTGTCATCCTGCCCTCCCCTCCAAGCACTCCCATGACAGCCATCCAGCCCCTTCCTGGGGACCCCAGGCAGACAGCAGGCCTAACTTACTTTAGAAAGTCTTTGTCCAGAGCTATCTGACATCCCTCATCCCCTTTTACCCCCCAAGGACAGCGTTTGGGCCATTTCTCCCTACCCCACCTCTGTCCCACCAGTATCTAGACCAGCACGCCCCAGTTGGGCCCACTCTGGCCCTACACTCACGTCTTCCACAATCCCCCTGACCCAGAGGGCCTCCCCACTTGGCTTTCTCTTGTGTGAAGTTACAAGGGTGACTGTATTTATTTAAACCACACTCCCGCCATGGAGAATCTGAAATGCCCCTCCCTGCCACATCCCCACTGCTCAGCGGCCCCCCGAGGGACAGCGAGGTGGAGAACAGCCGAGCCCCCGAGCCTCAGGGTTAGTGGTTACCAGGTAGGGGAGCCCCCACCTCCAACACATCCGGGCTGCACGGTCACACCGCTGGCCAGCACCAGCTGGCAGGTGCACAGATGTCCCACGTAGAGTCAAGAGGTGGCAGAATTAGGACCCACAGTGGGGTGTGACTACTGGAAGTGATGGGATCAAACTGTCACAGATCCAAGCCAAGCCGTAGTTAAGATACACCAGTGTCAACAGGGACTCCCTCCCGAGAGGAGGCCGCACCATGTGCAATCGCTGAGGACTCTCAGAGGAGCAGGGCTTTTCCGTCTCAATGGGATGGAAAGCCATGCCTTCCAGAGTGGACAGAGGGTGGGCTGACCATATAGGGGGCATCACAATGTCCTTCATCACCAGTAGGCCAGGTTCTCACTTCCCCACCTGCGATGTGGCAGGCTTGTGCCAAGGTGCCTGCAGGGACCTTTCCAGGCCCGCCTGCAGAGGCTGAGGCAGGGCAGCCTGGTTTGGGGCCTCCTCCTGCGTTGTCTTCCTAGGGGGCACTGGCTTGCTAGATACTCATCTTCCTGGTCTTCCCCTCAGAAACCAACATTCGAGTGACGCTGGGACCCCGGCCACCGTGTACCGAGATGGAAGACGCCCAGTTCTGGTTTGATGCTAGCCGGAAGGGGCTGTACCTGTGTGTTGGCAACGAGTGGGTCTCCGTGTTAGCAGGTGAGGCAGCCCTGCACCCAGGGTGTTGGCATGCAGGGCCACTCTGGCACAGCGTGACTGGGAGTGGAGGCTAGGAAAGGGGGCACCTCAGCCACCTCTGAATGACCTCAGGCTTGGCCGTCAGGCTGGGGCACTTCTGAGAGTGACAGGCAGCGTCAGTACTGACCCCCAAAGCAAGGGGCGGCCAGGATGACCAGCAAGCCAGGACACTGCCCTCCCTAGAGCCACAGGACTCTCAGCCACGGGCCCTCCTCAGGGCAGGCACCACTCAGGACAGGAAACCGCCCCACCAGGAGCCTCGAGCCCGTGCATCTCATTTGGAAATGTGAACCTCCAGGGCATGGCACACGGGCTGACAGGGCTGGGCATCACTTGGTACCCCTTCCCGATCTATGGGAAGACGACGCCTGCCTCCCTGCAGCCTCCCTGGTAGGGTGGCCGGGCCGCCGCCTCTGCCCACACCCTCCCTGTCTGCTAGATCAGAGATGAAATCCAAGGAGATGAAGAGCCTGAAAGGTTATTTTTACAGCGAGCCTTCTCAGCAGTCTGTTCCCGCTGCTGGGGAGGTGAGTGGAGGTGGCGAAAGATGCTCCAGATGGGTTACCTGTGAGAAACGGGCATGGGTTCCACCTAGCGCATGTGTGAGTTGCTAACTCTCTTTCACATTATCAAGGGCACAACTTGCCAGAGAAGCAGTGAGTCTTTTAACAAGGCCACAATGTGTAAACGTCATCCTGTCGGCATCGTTGGGGGCTGCACGGATCACAAGCCCCTGGCAGCAGTGAATGGCCTCCCTTTGACAGGCCTTTCCTGTGAGAGTGAAATGTGGAAACTGATGCCCGAGGCCGAGGTGCAGGAGTTGTGGCTTGGGGCTTGGGGCTTGGGGATCGTGCTCCCGCGAGGATTACTCTCGCTTTCCGTTCTCAGAAATCTTAACCGAGTCACAATGTTTCTATCACAAGCCAAAGAAAGACTGGACTACGTGGAGGAGCATCAGAACTTGTTCACCAACTCAGAGACCCTGGGCATCGAGGTGTTCCGCATCCCCCAGGTGGGGCTTTTCGTGGCCACAGCCAATCGCAAAGCCACATCCGCGGTCTACAAGTGGACGGAAGGGAAGTTCGTCTCCTATCAGAACATCCCCACGCACCAAGCACAGGCTTGGAGGCATTTCACCATTGGGAAAAAGGCAAGTCTGTGTTCGGTGACTTTCTCCATCCCCTTTCACTTGGAAAGCCCCGAGTCACGGGCGGGGCCCCTACACTGATTCTGCAGGTAAAGGAGTTTCTCATGGTGTCAACACCTCGTTCAGGTGGTAAAAGGCTCACAGAGTCACACACGTTAGCCCACCACCCTAAATCCAGGATGTGACTTTGAGACAGTCTGCTCAGCTCCCACAAAATGGAAGACCAGACCATTTCCCAGATGCCATCGGTTCTACATAGACCCCTTATCACTACATTTAAAACCTGTTGAGAGTGTTTACATGAGCTGGTCAAGAACCCACAAATCATTTCAGAAAGACATTAGAAGATGGACATTCCTGATCCTTCCTTTCCTCAAATGTTGAGGACACGCGATGTCCACACGCAAGGCTGAGGCCAGGCTCAGGGGAGCCACGGGTGGGACCTTGCAGGCTGGCAGCCGCCTTCCTGTCAGGGCTGCTCTGGGCAGGGGATCGAGGTGGTGTGTCTGGGAGATGGTTGACATCACAATGGGAAGGACGGGATTTCCTCTTCCCAGCTCCATCCATTCCTGGACTCCACGCAGCCATGTCCTGGAGACAGCACCTCCTGACTGCCCCCAAATAGTCACTCACTGGACTACAATGTGCCAAGCACACCTACCAGGCCCTGTCTGGACACACGGCTAAAGCAGTGAGCACAGTAGATAGAAACTGCTCTCTTGTGGCTTATAGTCACCCTCATGCAGGCTGCGTTTGCATCCAGTATGGCGGGTGAATAACTATTTTTTTTTGATTGATGACATCATAAAGTTTTAATTTTTTATTATAAAAAAAACTTTGCATCAAAGAAAAATTGGAAAATTCCGAAAAGCAAAGGGGAAAATATTTCATTCCATCATCCAAGCGAGTATGTAGGTTCACGTGGTGTCCTCGCCTCCAAGCACATTGTCCATGAACCATGCACCTTGCCCTTCATTCTGTATGTTCACGCAGCTGCACTATGAGCCCTGGGCACACTGCGCCATGTTCATGTTTTACACACATTGCCCTGACACAGCTTTGCGTGGCGATCACACCTGTAACACGGGAGAGCAGGTTGTGATGAGTTTTTTCTGGTCATCTGGGTTATGAAGAACATTTTTGTGCATGAAGCTTTTCCTGAATTTGGGAATTTTGGCTTTTGTGTTTTTTGCCTTCAGATAGCAATAGAAGTGGAAATATTGGGTAAAGAATATGGACATTTTCAAGGGTCTTGATGAATGTAATGACCAGCTCTGCGCCCATCCCACCATGATGACCTGTAATGCGGGGGCCTCGGTCCTCTGTCCCTGCACCACGTAGCATCCATGGATCTGGAGAGAGATGCTGATGTTCAGAAGCCTTCAGCACCAGGCCCCTGGCACCGACCCAAGCAGAACCACGTGGTCCTGGTTTACTCTCTTTCAGATCTTCCTGGCAGTGGCTAATTTTGAACCAGATGAAAAGGGTCAGGAGTTCTCTGTCATTTACAAATGGAGCCACAGAAAGCTGAAGTTTACCCCATATCAGAGCATTGCCACACACAGCGCCCGAGACTGGGAAGCCTTCGAGGTGGATGGGGAGCACTTCCTGGCGGTGGCCAACCACCGGGAAGGTAGGGCAGGTGTGGCCTTTACACCCAGAGGCAACCATTCCAGGGGCAGAGCAAGATTTGCATGCAGGGTGAATATGTATCTTATTAAAAATCAATAAGCCACACACAGCACAGGGTGAACATGCATTCTGGACCATTCCTCACTGTCTGAGGGACGGATATCTACTGGTCGTCCCTGGGGCACCTGCCCACAGCAGAGCCACCCCAGAAACATGGACTGCCAGACTGACTCCCAGCACAGAATGCCTGCCATCCTCCCTCCTTGTCTGAAAACAACTAACTTATTGACTGACTACCTGACTGACTAGCTGACTAACTACCTGACTCACTGACTGACTACCTGACTACCTAATTACCTAACTGATGACTGATTGACTAATTACCTGACTGACTGCTTGACTACTTGACTAACTACATGACTAACTACCTGACTGACTGACTGACTACCTGAATGACCGACTATATCACAGACTGACTGACTGACTACCTTACTGACTGACTACCTGACTCACTGACTGACTGACTACCTGACTGATACCTGATTGGCTGACTGACTGACAACCTGAATGACTAACTAGCTGACGGGCTAACTGCCTGACTGACTATCTGACTAACTACCTGACTGGCTGACTGACTGACCACCTGAATGACTAACTATCTGACTGGCTGACTGACTGACTGACTGTCTCACTGACTGACTGACTGACTGCGTGCCTCAAAGAGTGACTGACTGACTGACTACCTGAATGACTATCTGACTGACTATCTAACTCCCAGACTGGCTGACTGACTAACTACTGGCTGACTACCTCACTGACTGATTGACTGACTACCTACCTGTCTGACTATCTGAATGACTACCTGACTCTCTGACTACTAATTACCTTACTACCTTACTGACTGACTGTCTCACTGACTGATTACCTAACATACCTGACTGACTGACTAGCTGACTGACTAGCTAATTACCTAACTAACTGATGACTAACTACCTAACTGATGACTGACTACATGACTGACTAATTACATGACTAACTGGCTAACTACCTGACTGACTGATTGACTGACTACCTGACTACATCACTGACTAATTACCTTACTGACTACTTGTCTGACTGATTGACTGCCTAACTACCTGACTGACTACCTAACTACCTGACTGTATGACTGACAGATTACCTAACTACCTGATTGGCTAACTGACGCATTGAGTGACTACCTCACTGACTGACTGACTGACTACCTGACTAATTACTTGACTCTCCGACTAACTGATTACCTAACTCCCTGACTGGCTGACTCATTAACTGACTTACTATCTGACTGACTAACTACCTGTCTGACTGACTGAATGATTAGTTGACTACCTGACTGGCTGGCTGGCTGGCTGACTGATGGACTACCTCACTGACTGACTGACTGACTGACTGACTGACAGTGACTACCTGCCTAACTACCTGTCTGACTGACTACCTACTTGACTAGCTGACTGACTACCTCACTAACTACCTAATTGACTGACCAACTACCTAACTACCTGACTACCTTACTTACTGACTGACTGCCTAACTACCTGACTGACTGATGACTGACTACCTGACAACTGACTGACTGACTACCTGACTGATAATTAACTACCTGACTGATTAACTACCTGACTGATGACTGGCTGACTACCTAACTACCGAACTGACTGACTACCTCACTGACTAATTGACTGACTGACGGACTGACTGACCAACTACCTGATTAACAACCTGACTGATGACTGACCAACTGCCTGACTAACCACTGAACTGACTGGCTGACTACCTAATTACTTGACTAACAAACTGACTAACTGACTACCTCACTGACTAACTACTTCACTGACTGGTTGACTGACTGACTGACTACCTGACTATCTGACTGACTGACTAATGACTACCTGACAACTGACTACCTCACTCACTGACTAACTGATGACTGACTACCTGACTGATTAACTACCTGATGACTGACTACCTAACTGACTGACTTACTAACTGACCATCTCACTGACTTAACTGACTACCTCACTGACTGACTGACTGATGACTGACTGTCTACCTGACTGACTGACTACCGAACTAACTGCCTGGCTGACTGATTACCTTACTAACTACCTGACTGACTGACTACCTGACTACCTGACTTATTAACTACCTAACTGACTGACCAACTACCTGACTGACTGATACAACTGACTGACCACCTCACTGACTAACTACCTGACTGACTGACTGACTGACTGGCTAAATACCTCACTGACTAATTGGCTGGCTGGCTGACTGACTGACTGACTGACTAACTATTTGACTGACTGACCAACTACCCATCTGACTGACAAATTAACCGACTGGCTGACTGACTACCTCACTGACTAATTGGCTGGCTGGCTGGCTGGCTGGCTGGCTGACTACCCGACTGACTGACCAACTACCTGACTACTTGACTACCTATCTCAGTGACTGACTAACTGATGACTATATGACTGGCCAACTGTAATAACTGACTGACTGACAACTGACTGACTGACTACCTCAATGACTGACTGACTAAGCAATCTCCCCGCAGGAAAGGTCTGACCAGCACAGGGAGGGCAGATGTTGGGTATGGGCCCAGGCCCATGGCAGCAATGCTGGCCTGGTAGCTGGCCTGGCCAGGTGTGCAATGGAGGACAGCTGCCGTGGATATGGGATCTGGATGGCCTCCATGGCCTTGTTTCCTGAGGACAGGCAGCTGTCCCCCCTTGTGCCAGCAGAGACAGTGAGGAGCACCGGCCTGGGAGGCACTGGGACACCTGCTTTCCAGGCCAGGACAATGCCCTGAGTGGCCACAAGTACCTGCCATCCTGTAGCTCCAGGAGCCAGCCCGGGTCTGAGGGCATCTCCCCACCTGCAGGACCCCCAGACCCAACCCTGCCCAGGCTCCACAGCTCTGCACTCCCCTGAGCCCACAACCCACCCAATGGGGGAGCTCCACAGTGGAGAGGGAGGAGCCTCCAGGTAGAGGTGGCAGTGCGTGGGAAGGCCTGGCCTGTGGGGATGCTGGGGAGCCGTGGGCAGTGGGGCCAGGACACAGTGGGCCCCACCTCCAGGACACGGGAAGGTCCTGGGGATGTACACCTGTCCCGAGGGCGATGGGGGCCACCAAGCATTTCCACATGGGAATGGCACCTGTGAAGGCCCAGAGGTGGAGTCAGAAAGGGGCTGAGGGTGAGAGGCTCAAGGTAAGAAGGGATGTCCCCAACAGCTGGCCTTGCCCTCATGGGTCTGTGGTCCTCAGGGCAGGGACTTGGACTGGGCTCTGGCTATCTCAGGGCTACCATGGGGCTGTGGAATCTGCCTCCCTGCCCCCAGCACAGTCCTTTGGTTCCAGGCGACAACCACAACATCGACAGCGTCATCTACAAGTGGAACCCGGCAACCCGGCTCTTTGAGGCCAACCAGACCATTGCCACCTCTGGCGCCTACGACTGGGAGTTCTTCAGTGTGGGGCCCTACTCGTTCCTGGTGGTGGCCAACACCTTCAACGGCACCTCCACAAAGGTGCACTCGCACCTCTACATCCGGCTCCTGGGCTCCTTCCAGCTCTTCCAGTCCTTCCCGGTAAGGCCCCCGGCATGAGCCCCGCCTCTCCATCGCTGGCCACTGCGTCTGCCATGTGCACCTGCAGGACAGGTGATGTGCACTGGGGGTCCACCGAGAGCCAAACCTAGTGCTGTTCTGCACCCGTGACCCCAAAACCCAGGCAGGGCCTGCCCTTCTGGACGGCACAGGCTCTTTGCCTGGCGTCTGAGCCATTCTTGCCTGGCAGCCTCTGTGTGCCCAGGGACGGTCCAGGAGCCCAGAAATGAGGCAGGAGGTGCACCCTGGCTCTGCCCCACCCTGGTGTGGTGTTCTCCATAAAGTAGGCCTCGGAAGCTCCCGCGGTCTAATCCGAGTCTGTACGGGTGTCAGGGCCCTGGCCCGGGGGCAGCTGGGCAGCTTGGCTCTGACCCAGGCCAGTGTGGGGGCCGGGTCGGGGCAGCATGTGGCGTTCCCCTCCAAGCCTCAAGTGTCCCTCGGCTGGTTCCACCTCCAGGGGCGGGGACAGTGTGCTGCCTGCTCCCAGCAAGTGTGCCGAGGACTGTGACTGGAGCAGAGGTGTGGGGTATGGGACAGGCGGGGGCGCATCTCCCACCTCGGAGTCAGCCTCTATGTGAGCTGCGGTTCCCCGGAGGGGGCAGCTCGGGGGCTTTGCAGTGCCGGTAACAGCACTCCCACTGTTTGCTAGAAGCGTGCCTCTCATAAGACATCACCTCCCTTGTGTCCTTCCGGAATCTTCTGTGCCCCCTGACCTGGCGACTCATTCCACTGTAGAAATGTTCTCAGGGCCTTCTGCACCCAAGGCAGTGAGACTAACCCAGGTCACTCTTGCCACATGAGCTGCCCCCATGCCACGTCCCAGTGAGGCTGGTATAGGGGCAGAGCCATAGCGGACGCTGATGCCCAGACCCCTCACCCCCATCAGGGAGTCTGGAAAAACAGCGACAGCAGTCAGGCCTTGCCAAGCTACCCCTGCATTAGACAAGAGGCTGTGCATGTGGTGGGTGGGGCTGTACGGCTGAAATGATTGAAGGCATTCTGGAACATTCCATACATTCCATACATAACATTCCATACATACATCTCATTAGGGCAAGCCTGCAGGTAGCACATGGGAATGAGCTTCCAAACAGAAGGGAGGAAAATGGAGTTCAGCGATCACAGGTTCCTGGAGCCCCTCCACCCGGCAGGAGTGAGAGCAGCTTAGGAAACCGGGAGTGTGACCACCTTGAGAAGCCCGCAGGGGCCGGACCAGGAGCCACAGCTCACAGGGACCACCCACCCACACGTGTTAATGCGCGCAGAGCATTGCACTGGGGGTCCCCCGTGCTCAGCCCACCGGCAGGCTGTGGCACAGTGTCATCCACGTGGCTACCACCCCACCCTTCGGGTGCTCATGGTCCAGTGGGGAAGGACAGTTTTACGTGGATGTTCAAGGCACGAGAAGAGCAGACATCAGCGAGCACACCCCTCACTTTCCCAGGCCTCACCAGGAGGAATTGAGGGCTGGGAAAGTGGGAAAGTACCTGCAGGGCAGCGGGGCTGGGAGTAGGCAGCAGGGTCACCATCCAGAGCCACAGGCTGCAAGTGAAACGTGAAGCCTGCCCTCGTGGGGTTGACAGGGCTGCACGGTAATGACTGGTCAGTGGCTGGGAGTGAGTGACCCATTGGGAGGCTGCTGTGGCCGCCCAGATGAGCCGTAGGTGCCCAGGTGAGGAGGCAGCAGTGCCAGAAGGAACACACCTCGAGCTCGCTAGTGCTGTGGATGGAACAGGTGAGCATGCCTGGGATCCAGGAAGACGCAGGACGAGCCTCCTGGCACGGGGGCAGAGTGAGGCTCAGTGCACTAGGGTTGGGGGTGAGCCAGATTCCTTCCAGCCACTGGCCTTGGTAACAGCCTCAGGAGGTAGATGGTGGCAGCAGCTCACACTGGCTGAGCCTCGACTCTGTAGAGCGCCTGTGCCAAGAGCTCTGCCCGCATCCTCCCACGTCACCCTCACAGCACCTTGAGAGGGGCTTGCTGCCACTGGTCTCTGTTACCCACAAGGACACAGAGGCTCAGAGCAGTGGAGGGCTCTGCCCGTGGCAGAACTGGGATCAAGCCAAGCAATGCGGCCTGTCACTTGGTTTGATGTGGCACAGGACAGAGCTGAGCACAAGTTCCTTGTCTTACTGGTCCCTGTGCAGTCCTCTCACCGCAACGTGCATGCTGCTAAGACTCTGGGAAACTACAAGGGTGTCCTGGGCTGGTGGCCACGTGCTGGTATGCAGACAGCTGACCTGAAGAAGGGTTCAGGAGCCTTCAGTCATGGGTTAGTGTGGCCACAGGGCTCAGCAGGGACGGCCCCTCTGACCAGTAGTCATTGACCTGGAGTCGGACTAGGCTGGTGAGGTTTGAGATGTGAAAGCAGCTGCAAGCTGGGGCCAAGACCATGATATGGGCTGGAAATTGGGATTCCCAAGGAGGCCTCGACACGCGGGTACAGTGGCTAAAAAGGCAAATGGTGGGCTGGGCGCAGTGGCTCACGCCTGTAATCCCAACACTTTGGGAGCCCAAGGAGGGCGGATCACGAGGTCAGGAGATCAAAACCATCCTGGCTAACACGATGAAACCCTGTCTCTACTAAAAATACACAAAAATTAGCTGGACGTGGTGGCAAGTGACTGCAGTCCCAGCTACTCAGGAGGCTGAGGCAGGAGAATGGTGTGAACCTGGGAGGCGGAGCTTGCAGTGAGCTGCGATCACGCCACTGCACTCCAGCCTAGGCAACAGAGTGAGACTCCATCTCAAAAAAAAAAAAAAAGGCAAATGGTGACATCGAGCAGCAAAGAAAGGGTGGCTTGTGGACCTGGGCGCAGCTGCAGAGCACAGGTGATCCCGCCGACAGCAGTTCCCGTGGAAATACCCGGGGCTCCACACCAGTCACGTGTCATCGGGATCACACTGGTGCCGTAACATGAACGTGCGCTCTGCTGGCTCCAGGCTTACACGTGCAGAGCCCCAGCACATTGGAGCATGTTCGAGGAGCTTTGCCAGAACCACGAAGGGATTTGACACATTATCACACAAGGAACAATTGCAGGACTTGAGGCTTTATCCTGAAAGAAGGCATAGGCAGTCACTTCCAAGCATCTAACGGATGAGCTGGGGAAGGGGGAGCGGGCCTCCAGGGGGTCTTGAGAGCAGAGTCGCGCACCCCGGATGGAAAGGCACCACAAGTGACTTTCTCGTCAACTAGGCAAGGTCTCCTAACAGCTGTTGAGCCACGGAGAGGCTGCTGTCCTGGGGGCCCTGCATTCTAAATCACAAAGTGAGGTGACAAAAGAAAGGATCCCTGCAGTGGGTTGGGGTGTGCGTTTTGGAGATTATCATCCTAGATCTACCAACGCCATAATCCTTAAGCTCCTGTGATAACACCAAGTCCAATTTACAGTGTCTTCTTCATGATACTTCACCAAGGTGCTTAAGTGCCCCAGAGAGTACCTGGCCAGCTGCGCATGTCACCCATGCCATCCTCTCCAGCTAAAGGTCTCTGGATGTTTGACAAAAATCCTGAAAACTGCAGGAGTCAGGCTAAAGAAAATAAAGATAGGCTGAAAGAAACTGAGCTAGCTCTAGAAACAGAAAGGAATTTTTAAAAGTTACAATTGTTTTCAGAAGTATTCAAGAAGATAGTGCACTTATGAAATAAAGAACGCTACTAATGAGACCGAGAGCTTGGACATTAAAAATGCAATTGCTGGCATTAAAAGAAGACATTAACATGACTGAAATATAAAGTTAAGAGGATCTTCTAGAATGTAGAATGAAAAGAGACAGAATCAACCCCAGAGAGTCTATATCTGGCTAACCAAAGTTCTAGAAAAAAAGAATAGCGTGAAGAAAGTGATGGAATTGTCAGAGAAAGCCTTGAAGAAAACCTCCCAAATCTCATTAGACTGAAGGGGCGCTGAGACCAAGGAGGGCGAGAGCAAAGGAAAGTTACCTTCGAAGCACACAGGAGCCGCGCAGCCTGGGATTTCCCACCGGCAGCCCTGGATATCAGGATAGGAGGGCTCAGTGTTCTGAAGGCGAGTGATGGACGCACTGCTCCCGCAGGACAAGGCCGCTGGCCGCTGCCGTGCACAGCTCCCACATGTCCGTGGCTTCCTGCCACATTGGGTTCTCATTTCAAGTCAGACAAGGTTTCCGGTCCTGTCTCGGCTGCCCCTTGGAGCACACACAGTGGGAAGCAGCAGGAAGGGGCTGACCTGATTCTGTGCTCACAACCCATTGGCCAGGGCCAGTCACATGACCCAGCCTAGCTGGACCTGTGCTCATGTGTCCTCACAGCTCATTGGCTAATGCTGGTCATATGACTCAGCCTAGCTGGACCTGTGTTCTCGTGTCCTCACAGCTCATTGGCTAGTGCTGGTCATATGACCCAGCCTAGGTGGGCCTGTGCCTGCGTGTCCTCACAGCTCGTTGGCTAGTGCTGGTCATATGACCCAGCCTAGGTGGGCCTGTGCTCGCATGTCCTCACAGCTCATTGGCTAATGCGGGTTATATGACCCAGTCTGGCCGTCTGAGACATGTGGGAGCCCTGGACGAGGCCGTGTCCCTGGGGTGCACTGACAAGCCCGGGTACTCAACCAGATGCAGGAAATCAGAACTAAAGTGGTGGCTCCACCCAAAGATGACCATAAGGAAAGTTCTGGAATGAGAACTGGTGCGTGTCCTAGAGAGAAGCCAGCCCAGATGGTCTGGGGTCAGCAGGGCATAAGAGGGGCTTTGGGGGCTGTGGAGCCCACGGAGCACAAAGTGTGTCCAGGGATGGTGCGCTGAAAGAGTGACAGAAACACAGACTGCAGGAGATGAGGAAGGCAGAGACACGGGGCCGGGCCAGGACGATCTTCCTGTGCAGCAGCCGCTGAGGTGGGACGGGACTGACAGCCCCAGGGAGCAGGATCCAAGGGCTCCTAGGATGGGAAGATGGGAGAGCTGAGAGCGTTGTCGCCTGCAGAGCTGGTGTGTTTTCTTC